TACTAGAATCCCATCACTCCACCACAGAGTCACCGCAGTAGACGTTAGATGAGCGCTGTCGCTCCGCGGCACTTGTTATTATACATATTAAATTCAATCACTTGAAGTTGGTGTAACGGTTGTGATGCCTTCCGTCAAAAACTCACCCGGGTTAAATAAGGCCAGATCAGAGGCAAACCATGCTGTCATGCCCTCATGTGGTCATTATTGTAACCACTGGGAATAAATCATTATTTAAATCATTGAAAGCGGCGCCTTTGCCGATAGTTTGAATAATAATGACATTAAAAGATAGGTATAATGTCAATTCCGTCAAGAAATCACGACTTACCACCGAAAAAGATCATAATTTTTTCAATATTTCAATGACGGACACCCCCAACAATGGTTTGATCTAGTTACTGGGTTAACCTGGTAGCGAACACGTGACTTCTGGATCACCGGCAAAACATCAGGGCGGGCAAGTGGAGGTGAGAATTTTTTCCGTCAAACTTTATCTCAAAATCACAACCGCTCAGGGACATCACGACCAGTAGGAATGTGTGATATTAACGGAGATAGTAGGCTACAACACACAGGACCAATGTATTTAAGCCAATCCCGCTATTTAATGCTTGAGATTGCCGATTTTTATCGAGTGTTTTAGCCGCTCATGCATTTGAAATTTACTGCAAACCATTGCGATACGTGTGGTGGTGTTGTATTGACTGTGTGTTCAATGTGTGTACATCACAACCGATATGTGGTTGAAGTTTGAAATGATTGGATTAACCCTTGTACAAAGTAGGTAGCCCGTTGCAGTGCATCTTTAGGCCTACAAGCCCCTGACTAGCTAGAATTCTTTTCATGAATTTGGCTGGTTCCGATCCAATGATGAAAATTGCACTGTTTTGTATGTACGGCTGTGATGTTTTGACTATGATTTGTCATGTCTGTCATCACAACCAATACAAGTTGGGCAGTTATTATTTTAAATTGCAAGGCCTTAGGCTTTGTTTATAATGTAGATCGAGTAGGGCCTCTATAGTGTGTTATTTGGCCAACACCAGTGTTGGAATATAAGCTGATCTTAAATTTTAAAATAAAAAATCACAGTTTAATTGTACGTTTGTAACAGTTGTGTTGACATGACAAGTTCAAACATCACGTTCGTTACTGCATGTATCATGTATGACTGGGAACCATGAAAAAACAATTGTAAACAGTCATAGGCCTAGCAAGTCACATCGGGATCACACTCCTGTTGGACCGAGGTTGTACTTTGTAAATTGAATTTGAATTGAATTTTAGTTTAATATGTTATGGTTGTGATGATTTGACAACGATACTTCATACTGAGCATCACAACCGTCACAAAATATTCCTGATGCCAGACTTTGTTTCACTGCAGGGTACATCATTTTACAAAACAATGTAAACAGTCAGAGGCCTAGCAAGTCGCATTGGGTACACTCCTGTTGGACCGAGGTGGCACTTTGTCATTCTTGTCATCTTTCAAACCTACCGTAATCTTTCATGTCCGTATTGTTCATGATCCGCAGTCAACTCTGAAATGATAATTTGGTAGCCCTCCCTCTTTTACCCAGACTTGGGACTGGGCTACCCTATATACAGTTCACACTCTGTGTTCAATTTGAGCTTTCCCCAGGCAATTTGAATTGTTTTTCATTTCAGAAGGTTCAATGAACAACTTGAATTTAATTAAAATTTTAAACCGATCAGAGTCTGACAAAAGGCTAAAGCCGTTGGTTGCAAGCTAAAAGACTGGTGCGAACTACATAGGATCTAGGTGGGTTACCACCAAAGAAAATTTAGCGCACAGAATTACATGCAAGGAAAGTTGTAGTGCAAGGAAACTAGCAATTAGGGATGAAAGCAAAAAGTACATCACAACCATTACACATTCTTCAGATTGCGTGTAGGTGTACCAGGTATTATTTGTGATGAACATGATGAAGGAATTTTGTTATACCACTATGCTCTTCAGGAACAACTCCCCTTCTCCACTGAACTTCTGTTTGTGGTTGTAGACATTCTTGTTTAAATTCTGATTGTCAATGCATCACAACCGTTACACTACATTGTTATTTTCTGCTAGTGTTGTCAATCGGTTGTAATTTCGTAATCGATTATCGGTTGGATCCAAGTAACCGATGATCGGTTACAATCGGTTACTCGGGGTGTTGAATGCCTGCGTGTGCGTAACGTCGTGTGCATGTACGTGTGTGCATGTATGTGATTGTTTAGCCCTGTTTACTTGTTTTGTTTTGCTACTTGTTTACTACTGTGTGTAGGATACATGTATTGTTAATAAAGGGATAACTGTAGTAGTAGCGATGATATCTCTTGATTCTATCACTTTTCAAGTTTTTTTTTCAGTTTTAATTTTTCCAATTTTTTTTTTTTTTTTTTTATGATTGATTATTGGATGTTTGATAACAAGCGTTTGGTTCGAGCCACTGTTCAGACGAATGGATCGAGTTATAATCGCATGATTCGTGAGCATCACTATTTTTTGCCACATGATATTGGGTGGTATACGTAATTATGACTAATAGCATACTGCATTTATGGAGATAACTAATCAACCCTAGATTTGGAGAAAATGGGTTGATATTCAATTCTGCGTATTCCGGCGGAAAGGTTATATGCGCCAAATGATACATCACAACGTTACAGTATAAGAGGGTTTATTTTTTTTTTTATTTCACGTTTTGGTGCAGGCGCACAGTTTCAAATTAAACTGGCTGGCATTACAGCATTGGTGATTAATAATGTGATACCGCAACTCGGATGATGGAATTTGATGCAACAGAATTTATATTGTACATCACAAACGTTACGGCACGACATTTCATTTGTTATGAATCGGGTTACAGCAGTTTTTTTAATAGGTTCTGATTATGAAGTATAATGTTCCTGCCCTATAGAAATTTTGTTTTATAAATTAGCAAAATAATGCATTTGAAAATTCATGGTCCATGGGCATACTTTTCTACATTTTACTGTGGACGTGGCCATAGTGGAAAACAACCAGTTACGTAATTGTTTTTAACAAACAAGTTATTGTTACCCTAATGATAATTAGACGTTGCCTCGGTGAACGAGTTCAGGCTTAGTGCTTGCTGGTGAACAATCAGTGTGAATGTTTGTGAAACATGAGTGCCGATTCGTGCCGGGTAAATTGGTAAAGTAGACTGCCTGTTAAAGGGCTCACATGCCGCATCCAACGCTAATTTCTCAGTACTAAAACTAGGCAAATACTTTCGTGTCATGGCGTAATTCACACCTACCTTATGACAAATAAACTCTAGTTCATCATTCACTGCGCGTTTGCTTAAACTAGAAAGATTAAGAGGTGAAGGAAAGATGGCATGTTGCGCGCAAAACGCTAAATGTTTGAAAGCAAACTTGGCATCACATGTTGACGACGGCAGGTGTGAGCAAGGAATTAGTTGTCCCGGGGTTGTATTTATGTAGTTCTTTTACGATTTAGATAGTTGTAGTATTCGTGACTGCCTGGGTTATGTAACATCAAGATATTAAGAAAGGTGATTTATAGGCTCAGCGTAATAAGCGTTTGGAAAATAACGGTATTGATTATGTAGGGCTTGACTTATGCGCTAACAGCTGCGAACATTGCAGCTGAGGCAGCGTTGCAAGGAAAACGACAGGGCCGTAGAAATCTTTTTCGCTTACACACCCGCCTGGACGGCTGCCTGGGAGAGGCATGCAAACGGTGTCAATCAACATCGGGATGAAGTTGAACACGGTGGAGTATATTTTCAAATAGCCTTGTTATAAGACAACGCGCATGAAATGCAAAGCACTAGAGTTTAGTTTTGTCATAGGTGTGTGATTTTGGATGCGCGCCGAAGTAGTTTTAGCTTAGGTCTAGTCTGTAGAAAATTAGTGCGTTTGGATGGCATTGTGAGGGCTTTAACTAGAGATGTCATCCGCCCCCGCCCCCCCCATAGCAATTAATAGTATGAATCATATAGATATGGCGATGATTACATTTTATATTAGAATGCACTAGGTCAGTCTACGTTTCCACCCCCTTCCACCGATCTTAGCTAATTTCACGTTTCGACGGTGTGGAGGGTGGGATTTTCCCTTTAAATCATACAAGATAAACATTTCTAAGACTCAGGGGTAGCACTCAGTATGGCCGCCCATTTGAACAAATACTGTGCAACTAATGGTGTTGTGAGTGGTGATATGATCAGGGAGGATTAGTAGATGTTATATACTCGCGTTGATGATGAATATCACAGTAATTTAATGAATTGTTTCGGTAATTGTTGGGTGAGGATATATATAATCATTGTACCATTATCTTGACGTAACACAATTATTAAGTTTTGGATTGGATATCGTTTTGTATCATAATGAATTTAAATCGACATAATATACCTGTACTTTGGCGCATAAATGTGCTAAAACTGAGCTGCGGCGCGTTTGGGATAAGATCAGTGTGGGAGGTTGTTGGATGAATATTTTGATCAACATACCACAACAATTTGGAAATATTTATACCTAATTTTGACAGATAATTCTAGTATTATTATCCCCTAACTCAGTATATGAGTTATGTTCAACATGTGTTGATATAACCGTATAAATCGACATATATCTGTACCGCTGCACAGGGTACTAAATTCAACTGGCCGAAATTTGTAAACATCGACATGAGCGAGTTTATTGTGAATATTTTTGATTAACTTTTCACAACAAATCGGAAATATTTATATCCAATTTTGGCAGATAATTATAGTACTATCATCGTACTACCCAGATATCTAAATTTTGTTCGATATCTATTTATATAATCATGTAAATCGACAAATATATATATACAGCTGTATAAAGTACTAGAACAGAGTCACCAAAATTCATAAATGCTGCTGGGAGCGGGGATGTTATGAATATTTTGATCAACATAACACAACACCTAGGACACATATACCGTGGAACTGCGCGTCTCATCCGCGCGCAGCGCATAGGATCAACAGCAAAGCTGTGCCACGCAATCTTGTATCATGTCTCTCTGGATTGATACCACAGTATTTAATTTGCCAGCAGGTTTTAGCAGTTACTGATTTTTAAAATAGTATAAATTTATAAGTGCATCATAATGAGGTTCCAAACTGACGTTGCGTCAACGGTTGGCTGGGACGCAAAAATTCTACATTTTTTAGGTTAATATTTTATAATGTAATCGACAGATTTGATAGCATATTAAAACAGGTATTCATAGCATATCCTCAGTTAAATATCAAATGTATAAAAATATCAAAATGTTCTTGTGTGTGAATAGGTGAAAATTCGATGTAAAACACAAGAGAATATATGAAAATTCCAGCACAGGCCGATAGTTCCATTGTTAACAACTTAACAAGGCAGCATTGAATGTGTTAATATTCAAAGTCCACGGGACCATATCGATGACGGAGAGTGACAAATTTGATAAAATAGATTATAAACTTTAACATATAAATTATAACACACACGTATATATATATATATGAAGATCATTACTTGGGCTTATAGGGTCTATGTCCGTCCCCCAGGGTACTGCCGGAACGTACCCTGGGTACGGTCCGGTATACCGGAACGTACCCTGGTCACTATTTGATATGGTTAGGGTTAGGATTAATGTTAGGGTTAGGGTTAGGATTATGGTTAGGATTAGGGTTCGGGTTCGGGTTAGGGAATAGGCGTAGGCGACTCCCTAGACTCGTTAGTGGAGTAGGCGAGGTACGGTCCGGCATATTAGATAGTACCAGGGTACGTTCCGGCAGTACCCCGGGGGACATAGACCCTCTCAGCATTACTTGGTGTATACAAATAACAGATTCGTAATTATTGGTACAGCTCTGAATTGACAATTGTATTCTTTTATTTATTCTAGGTGTCTGCAAAACTATTGGCATGTAAGCTGACTTAGAACAACCTGTAACAGTGCCATTCTCTGCAGTATTTTCTTATTTACAATTTGGTGCTGAGAAACTGTATATTCCAAATGCCGGCAGACAGCAGCGACATGTCTTCAAAAAGGTAGGTTTCTTACAGGGTTGTTGCTAAAATTCTTTACTCAGAGGATTAATTTCAATTGTATTATAAGATTCATAGCTCATGGTATTTTAATTTTAGAGTATATTCGGTATATTGGAGGGGTACGTTGCCATACATATTTTTTTAACATATTTCTCATCAATCCCTAGGAAATAGTATAAATTCACTAATGAAAATATGAAAGATTTAGAGATCACAATGTCTATCCTTGTGTGAATAAGGAAATTGAGTTTGTTGTACATCCCAAAGTTCAGCTAAAACACAGCCTACTGATATATCGGGCACATTTTTAGCTCACATTGACATCGTCAAGATGAGCTATTGCCATGGGGTGTCGTCCGTCGTATGTCTGTCCGTCTGTCAACATTTGGCTACGGTCAACGATAACCGTTTGACCCACATGTTTCAAATTGCATACAGTTGTTACTCTTAATCTTATGGGAGAGATGTGAACGCCCTATTTTGGAGCATGCCAGTTGACCTACATTCGAGCCACATCCACTTTTTGGCAAAAATAGAAATGGCCACAAGTCGGTTCAGGTTCAATGGGTTTTGCTCATTTCTGGTATGTGAATGAATGAGGACTGGCCCCAAAACATCACACAAGTTTTGATATTTAAAAAAAAATTATGCAAATTAGGTAGATTTTGGCAATTTCACTATGCATTTCAGTGTCTGCCTATGGTCAACGATAACTCAAGAACCGTTTGACCCGCATGTTTTAAATTGAATACAGTTGTTACTCCTATGGGAGAGATTTGAACTTTTGAGCCACGCCCACTTTTTGGCAAAAATGGAAATGACCATAAGTCAGTTCAGGTTCAACGGGTTTTCCTCATTTCAAGTATTTTTAAACTAATTAGGACTGGCCCCGATACATATCTCGGAGTTTTGATATTTTTCTAAAATTATGCAAATTAGGTAGATTTTAGCAATTTCACTATGCATTTCAGTGTCTGCCTACGATCAACGATAACTCAAGAATCGTTTGACCCACATGTTTCAAATTGTATACAGTTGTTACTCCTATGGGAGAGATTTGAACGTCTTAATTTGGAGCACGCCAGTCGACCTACTTTCAAGCCACGCCCAGTTTTTGGCAAAAATGAAAATGGCCATCTAGATTCATTCGATTTTGTTAAATTTACCTACCTACCTACCTACCTACTATTATCTACAAGTAATATTGTGTTTTAGATTCTTCGTTACAGTAATTTGACTAAAATAGTTTATTGCTTTTATTTGCACGATAATCGAAAACCAAAATGGCGATCATTTAGGCGTAGCGCCATCTTACGCCCAGATTTCAGACTTTCAGATCTGAAACATATATTTTTGCATCAGAACTAACCCTGAAACAAAACAGTGAAATTTCTATTAGTATAAAACGGGGAGTAAGGACATTTGATCAAATTTCGGTCCGTCATAAATGAAACACTTACCAAATTTGAAATATCATCTCACTCTTCTATCACACCCAAGGTGAGCTATAGTGTCATTGACACTTTCATTATTATTGAAATATGGCTTTATAGATTTTTACGAAACATTTTCAACATGTATGGTCCTCAATTTTTAAGGATATTTGAACCACGAGTGAATTCACATGTTGTGTATAGTGATTGATGGTGACAGTTGTAGTGCACTGTATTTTTCAGTGAGCTGCGTAAGCTGAGTGAGGAAAGTCTAGCCAGACAGCCTGATGAAGTATTTGACATCATTAGCAAATTAGGAAGAGGGTACTACTAATTTTTGTTTCATCTAACATAGTTTAAAATATTAATAACATCATTGTTCATGTTTAAATCCTTAAATTATTTACCTTGACAGTTTTAGCTGTCGTTCTGATAGCTATCTTCAGAACTTCTGAATTCGTCACCAGATGGCAGTAGGTGACAGTGATCTGAAAACTTTCAGATGTTGGTTGGTGGGGCCCCCGGAGCCGATGGTCTTGTCCTGGGCCTGAGAATGTTGTCGTACACATATGACAGTTTGTATAACCCCTCATCTCTGTTCATAGTGTGGGGGTGTTTGAGTATGTGGATAACCACATACAAAATATGGGCCCATACTACAGGCGTATGGGCCCCACCGACCAACATCTGATAGTTTTCTAATCACTGTCACCTACTGCCATCTGGTGACGAATTCAGAAGTTCTGAAGATAGCTGTCAGAACGACAGCTAAAACTGTCAAGGTAAATAATTTAAGGATTTAACTATGAACAGTGATGTTATTAATGTTTTAAAAGAAATCTGACTATGAACTTTCAAGACAGTTTAAAACAGATTTGTAAGAATTCATTTGTTAGAATTTAATTGATTATTAGATTCAATTTGTTTATGTCGTCTGTGCCGAATACTACCGATGTCTGGAAAGATGTGTTTGTGGAACATGATAGATCTGAATTGGATTTCGGTATAAAGATAACTTCTCTGTGGATTGATGTAAAAGGAATGATCATGTAATGATAACTATATAGCTATACGATTATTACTTAATACTTTATATATGCGTGTGTGTGTACATGCGAAGCGAGCACTGTAGCTAATTAATGTTTATTTCCTTTACTGCCCATGACTAGGTCATATGGCAGCGTGTACAAGGCCCTGCACAAGGAATCTGGTCAGGTCGTTGCCATTAAGCAGGTACCTGTTGACACTGACCTTCAGGAAATCATCAAGGAGATCTCTATAATGCAGCAGTGCGACAGCCCTTATGTAGTAAAGTACTATGGAAGCTACTTCAAGAACACAGACCTATGGGTAAGTGCACTGAAGCAGCACAGATGTACCGGTATCCATTTGGAGTAGACCTGGGTCTCTGGAGGAGGCATCCGCTATCTTATGTGAATTTAGCTGTTAGAAACTTCCCATTTTAAAATTTATTTTTGCACCTTATATCAATTTTTGATAATAAAGGTTTATATGAATAGTTACAATGAGGTGCAATCAGTGAAGCTTCTTAATTGCATCACTAGACTAAAATTGAAATCCCATATAAGGATGTCTGAACTACTGGAAAATTTTTAATAGTGCACTACTACGTTGCAAAATCTAGTAGTATATATGAATAATCCATAATAAAAGTAAGTGTTTCATCCTGGGAACGAGATCTAGGTAGGTGCAAGTTAACAGAAGTGTTGCGATGCTTTTTTTGCTTGTGTAATGTGATTATTTTTCATTGCTTTCAGATTGTGATGGAGTTTTGCGGTGCTGGGTCTGTTTCGGATATCATGAGGCTCAGGAAAAAAACTGTAAGTTTAATAGACGTACAATAGAAATAGATATTAACACCCTGTTGAAAAATTGTGCATTGTGGCATGCAATTGAGAGACTAGCTGAAATATATTTACAGAATTGTACTTTTGGGTGAGCATATGTGGCATTGCAATGGCTGGGGAAATGTATGGTTGAAAATGTTGAATATGGAATTGTTTTTTGATACTGTTGAGATCAGGGAATATTTAGTACTTAAGAAATTAATTGAGCATAATACCTTATATGGTCACTTAGGCTTCACTTACATTGAGCAATTTGTACTGATGTATTCTGATATTCATGTTACATTGTACATTGTAGTTGTCCGAAGAACAGATTGCAACTATACTGTCAGACACATTGAAGGGCCTAGAGTACTTGCATCTACGACGGAAAATACACAGGGACATCAAAGCTGGCAATATCTTGCTAAATAATGAAGGACATGCCAAGCTAGCAGACTTTGGCGTAGCTGGACAGCTAACCGTAAGCACCAAATTCTTTTGTTAATATTGTTTCGTTAGAATTGTTTCGTTTTTGTTAGAAGGGAACGAAAACTTCCCGTCACTTCACTCGCTTATTTTATGTTTAGTGCACACGTCTAATCTGCGACATCTATATATTCATTCAGGACACAATGGCTAAAAGGAATACAGTGATAGGCACACCATTCTGGATGGCTCCCGAGGTTATACAGGAAATAGGTTATGACTGTGTGGCTGACATTTGGTCTCTAGGTATCACAGCTCTTGAGATGGCAGAAGGCAAGCCACCATACGGTGATATACATCCGATGAGAGTAGGTTGGACTATGTACATCACCCTTTACTTTCTGTGAAATGTATGTTCATTAGATGCTTCATTTAAAATACTCATTACTGGTAAATGGCTGATGTGTTCAGTAGATAATAAATAATTTAGTATTTTACCATATATTGATTTATTTATGCAAGAGTGAAAACAATCAGTGTGTGCACATGCACATGAAGTTTAGGAAGTAGGAACACCCGACATGCAAACATCTGGAATTATGATGCTTCAATATTTATTTAAACCTTAATAAACATGCTAAACTACAAATTGTGAGCTAGTCATACGTACCAAGCCATGGTTCCATGATTTGAATTTGGGTTTCAATACGAGTCGGTTGCAATCGGATTTCAATTGTGTTACCAATTAAGGTTGTAACTCGGGGATCCGTACCTGTAATGCCATTGTTGAATAAAATTTTAACCATATTGCAGGCAATATTCATGATTCCAACGAAACCACCTCCATCATTCAGGAACCCCGACAAGTGGTCACCAGAATTCATTGATTTTGTATCGAGGTGTTTAGTAAAGAACCCAGAAGACAGAGCTACGGCCACAGAACTCCTACAGGTATGCGTAGTGCTCTAAATAGTCTGGTGAATCTAAGATGAGAAGGGGTGGATCATTGTCATTGTCTCATTGTGTTCAAAATATCCCATGTGGTGAACTAGGTTCAAAAACTGGGATGTTAAAAAACTTACAAAACGTATGTATATATCAGCACAATATAATCATACCTTAAAGCTGCACTATGTGCATCCAAACGCTAATTTCTCCAGTACTAGACTAGCAAATACTTTGTGTCATGCATAATCACACTACCTTATGGCAAAATAAACTCTAGTTCCTCCCATTTCACTGTGCGTTTGCTTAAAACCCACAAGAAAGAGGTGCGAAATCTGGTAATCTGGCGCCAACGCTAAATTGTTTGCCGAACAATTTCGCCAAGAATCGGTTAGGCGACGTCACATGTTTTTATCTTTGCTACACCCGTACCGCTGTACCGCAGCACCGCTGTACCGCAGCACCGCTGTACCGCAGCACTGCTGCACGTTTGCTTGGGAGAGCAACGCGAAAGTGTCAACAACATCGGAGAATTTGAACAACATTGGAGGTATTTTCAAATGCATCTATGGGAGGAACTAGAGTTTATTTTGTCATAAGGTAGTATGATTATGCATGACACCAAGTATTTGCTAGTCTAGTACTGGAGAAATTAGCGTGTAGATGCGCATATAGTGCGACTTTAATGTATCCTATATAGCCACATTGGCACATGATAATGGCAGTGATTGCAGGATTCTGATTTACAAGTTAGTAATGTTAATCCTGGGTTTTCAGCACGAGTTTATCCGAAATGCGAAGCAGGTGGCGCTGCTGCAGGAGATTCTTCAGGAAGCCAGGCAGATACAGGAGAGTGAGGCACTAGCCAACCAAAATCCAAACGACGACTCGGTCAGTACCGTTGCATTGGTGTTACGCTGTTCTCGCTCACATAGGAAGTTGCCATTTTTAGTTCTGTGCTCCGCGTCTCACGTATACTCGTAAGTTGAACCTGCTAGGGGTGTTTTTTTAATTTGTAATTTCTCTGATCACTGTAGGACGATGATGGCGAACAGGATGATGATAGTGGCACGATGGTGAAAGTTGCGACACCCACAGGTTCAGGAAATGCTACAGCAGGATCCGATGATACTGATGCACATAATGACCTGTCATCTGACGATGCAGGAACGATGGTATCTCACAGGTAAATTTGATGCAGCAATGACAGTATCACAGAGGTGAATGAGATTCATGAGTGGTGGTATGTCACGGGTAATTAGGATGTAGGGAACGCAGTATCTCACAGGTAAATAAGATGCAGGAATCATGGTATATTATATATAAATGGGATGCGAGAACTGGTATCTCACAATTAAACATGAGGAATATAAATTGAACTCTGCTAAAACATTTCATTCGTAGTCATATTAAATGGTTTTGAATGTTATAAAATTACTATTTAGGAGTATAAAATTAACATTGTTGTTCAGATATTGAGATGTTAGGAAAATTGGTTTAAGAAAGGCCTGCATAGTTGCCTTAATAATGGCATCATTGCGAACTCTGACTTTCCACATCTGACATTATTTTGGATTTAACAAAGTTGGTGTGGAGTAATTTGGTGTATTGTGTATTCCTACCCAATACCTTGCCATTTTACAGTACTTCGAGTACAGCTGGCACGTTTATAGTTGCAACTAGCGACTCTGAGTCAGGTTCCATGCTCGAGTCTGACCTTGGAACGATGGTGATCAACAGTGATGATGACGATGACAACGAAGGAGGAACAATGAAACATGGTTTGTACCACTGTCGCCAACAGTAAACACCAATTTTTCGTCAAGATGAGCTATTGTCATGGGTCGTCGTCCGTCGTACGTCCGTCCGTCCGTCCGTCCGTCCGTCCTTCCGTCAACATTTGGCTACGGTCAACGATAACTCAGGAACGGTTTGACCCACATGTTTGAAATTGGGTATAGTTGTTACTGCTATGCTTCCCATATTGAACGTCCTATTTGGAGCACGCCAGTCGACGTACTTTCGAGCCACGGCAATTTTTTGGCAAAAATGTGGAATTGCCATTAGTCAGTTCAGATTCAACGGATTTGCTCATTTTTGGTATGTGAATGAATAAGGGTCAGGGTTTTGATATTTAAATTTTTTTATGCAAATTAGGTAGGTTTTGCAATTATATAGCATATTATGTTATAGACACGCAGATAACAGTCTGTGGTGTCACACTCGTCGGTGTCGTTTTACAAGATTTCATTGACAATATCTTTAATGCAAAATTGGTATTTCCTCTCCACCCTGACGATAAAACGTTTATATTAGAGTAAAGTTTTACAAAACATGTCGGAACGCAGCATAACTTATTTATTTCGAACGTCATTGCTAAGAAACATCAAAGCGGGTATAGCGCCATCTACTGCCTCACAAAATTGTGATTCATTTTGGTTTATAAATTATTATTGCGATATACAGATGGCAACCGTGTGCTACCGCCTAGAAAAACTCATACTAAGTAAACACTCTCATGCAACCAATTAACCTTTGACAAAAGTTGTGTTATGGGCAGGGAAACACCATTATCACGTGGTATATAGCAGCTGCATAGAATAAGCGTATTCTCTCAATCTTACACGTTACACATCGGGAGCTCCGCTTTTAGGCAGTGCCTAAATCTGAATATATAAAAAACGTTAAATGGCGATCATTTAGCTGTTACGCCATCACTCGCCCACATCTCAGACTTTACATCTCAAACATTTATTTTCACATAAAAAATTACACATATAATTATCAAGAGTATATAATGGGAGTTCTCCCATATATACTCTTCATTTCTATAATGTACGTTGATGGTTGCTCAATTAAAACTCGCTTCTTCTCACTCACTCATTTGTCTCCTTTTTTGTGGTGAGCTACATTGTCATTGACACTTTCATTCTATCCGCGCACGGGCCCATGGCTCACGTTGAGTATAATTGTACACTGCGTTGTTGCTGAATTGAGTTGGAACTCGCTTTCAGATGCGAATGGCGACAGCCAGTTAAAGGAAAAGTACCGACCGTCATTTCTTGATCACTTTGAGAAGAAAGAGGTCACCGATCAAAAGCCACAGGCGGGTGAAGTGCCGGCAGCTCTGCGGAAGGCGTCAGCACCTGTGCAGCAGCAGGAGCAATTTGGCTTTCATAGGTCCTTCACAGACGGAGACTTTGAATTTGTAAGTGTCAAGTGATGTTTTGCCGTGTTTCACTGCATTTCATACTCACCTGCTGTCATACTTATGTGAACATATATTTACATCACACGTGCCATATAAGTCAGTAAATTGTCTGAATTATGATACCACAGCCAACACTACGCAATGATGTTAAATCGCCAGTTGTGCTCGCTCCGTGAACTTTCGTTAATACAGCCGGTAAACCTTACAGCAATCCTTGCCGAGATCCGTGTCGAGTCTTCTTAAATTCCACGAGTCGGGGTCGTCCTTTGCATGGGGGCATACGTGGGTAAAAATAATATACGGATAATTAATTTATCAATATATAAATAGTTAATATATAGTAGATAAATAGTTTATATATAGGAGGATCATGTAATAGCTGTGATATGACACGGGTTCGTCGACGCTCATCTTCCGCGCGTTTCAGCTGAAGTGTCTCACGTACGAGGAGCTGCAGGCGCGCATGGCCGCGCTCGATCCGGAGATGGAGCGCGAGCTCGAGGAGCTGCGTCGCCGCTACCAGGCGAAGCGGCAGCCAATCCTTGACGCGATCGACGCCAAGAAGAAACGGCAGCAGAACTTCTAGTCGGAACGACGGATGTCTGACTCGGCCGCAGCGTTGGCTCCAAGAGCTCCCGCGACGACACGCCAAACTGCCAGCGCAGCCTGCGAGAGGGTCGGCCCGAGGGTGCGGCTGTTGTAGGTTACGCCTCGAGGTGGATACGAGACCATGATAGAGAGAGGGAGTAACTAGTAATGGCTGACTGTCGATGCTGGTCGGATACTAGGAGAATGGTATTAATAAGGGTTAGCTCGCGGTGCAGACGCTAGTTTACAATAGAGACACAGACTAGAACCGGTTAGCGCTTGAACCAGGTGTACCGGCGTTCAGAGGCATGAATCTGGGCCGTTGTTCACGAAGTCTTTTGGCACTAGCGACAAGTTGGGATGGACATGAGATTTGTGATCCTCATGGTGTTACGTGTGTGACGAATTGCAGCTGGCTGTGAGAGACTGTGAGTCCTGTGTAAAGTTACAGCGAGGTCATCATATTTTAGGTGGGATCTGGTGTCGATCACCAATCGTAGGCCCTGTGCTAGGGATGGAGAGATAAGGTGCTCGATTTTCACTGTGCAATGCACGAGCACTAATTTGGTCCCAGCAACTCGATGCTGTTAGGTGAAGATTGAAAAAGGGGTGGTATTAGATTATTGTTGAATGGATCTGAATTACTGCTGGCCTTTGTCTTCATGATATTATCTCTTGTACAGAGCCATCTAGTGGCAGAGTTTCTTGTTCAAATAAACTATCGAAGACAAAGATTTTCATAATTAGAGGCAACTACCAAATGATTTGTGTGCTTATGTGTGATGTAGCCACCAAGTCCTTGGCGGTAGCAAGGTTTTTGCTATACGTTATATTTATATTCTGGATAAACCCTGTTGGTAATCACTGTTTTTATAGAAAAGATATGAAAGGTGACTTTTGCTTGCATTTGATTTTTATGTAATACCTCCAATTTTAGTTTATACTGCTTTGACCCACACCTAGCTAAAGTGATGTAGTGAGAAATGCAGATAAGTGAACCATTTGAACAGTGGCGTAGCCAGGATTTTTTAACTGGGGTGGGGCCAAAAACAGTGAACTGTGCAAAATAGTGGATGACTTAATATTTCAATGGTTCCTCCACCTCCCTCTCCACACCCTATGCTCCCCACCTCTCAGCTCTGCAATCTTTGTTTTGGGCACCATGCAAAAAGGCGACATTTTTGTTCGTTGTTCTCTGTTCCCAAGATATGTAACTGTTCAGTCACAGATCTAGGATTCCAAGGAAGGGGGGTAAAAAACAGGCGGGGGTTATGGGGGTCCTCCCCCAGAAAATTTTGAAAATGTAGATCGCAGATGGTATTTGAGGCACTTTTGAGTACATGTACAGCCTTCATTCTGACTACGACAGTTCTTATTTTTTTTTAACTTACGGATCAACAGGGGGGACATGGCCCCCTTTGCTTCCCCCTAACTACGCCACTGCATTTGAATGAAATTGTGTGTGTGTGTGTGTGTGTGTGTGTGCGTGCGTGCGTGCGTGAATGTGTGTCTAACGCCCAAGTATTGGTCTAATTTAACAACTTTTACGTTAAATGGAAAATAAGATGCTGTCACGAACAGTGAAACGCCTTTGAACAGTTAGCAAGGCTCATTTTCACTGGGCAGGCAAACATGGCAAATGGGAGGTAAGGAAGGAGATATGGGGTGGAGTTGGTTCTGGAGAGGGAGAACAGGCATTTCTCGCCACGACTTGTCATTAGTCACTGAAGCAAAAAACTGCCAGTGCTAATTACTGCTAAAACATTGTAGTTTAAAATAACACCCAGTGCAATTTCAAACATGATGGATGGCTAGAAGTTATCCCATGGTAGCATATTTGTAGTTGTATTTGAATACTACTTTTTCATATGACAAATAGATCTTGTATGTAAATGAGATATCAGTTTCTATAGATATGATATGTTACCTATGTGAAGTGGGAAAAATGTAGATCTGCAATATAATTGATGCCATTGCTGTACTTGTACTAGTTCTGTGTCACAGAAAGACAGCTTTGTGGCTACTTCTCAAAAAACATTGTTGTCACGAATGCACCAACTTATACAATTGTATCCGTCCTTGCGCAAAGTTAGTTAATCTCAACTACATTTGTCTAATTTCACCAATACTTTATTTTAATTCTTAGACCCTGTGAGTGACCTTTATAGGACGTCAATGAGTAAAACGCTTCTTTCTTCGGCAGTTTTTAGAGCAAACTTTCATCGAGGTGGTATACCACTTAATCAACTGCTGTCTTGTCTGTGATATGCATTTTGTTGCCAAATGACTACAAGTAACTGGGGGAGTATAGCTGCCTGTTCTTCATCAATTCGCATAAGATCCTTGTGTTATCTATCACCCATGTATTAAGGAATGTGATTCCGCGCCGAGTAAGCCGCGTATTTCAGTACGGTACTGAATAAGCCGCGTATATGTTTAGCGTGTGAACGCTCAAGTACGGTACTGAAATCCTCGTGTGAACCATAGATACTACTTGGGGTAGTATCTATGTGTGAACGCAGCTATTGAGGCATGTCCAAGAACTGATCGATCAAACGTCGTGTGAACGCTCTCTTCAACGACGCTCCGTGTCCAAGCGAACAATCAAGAACAATGCGAATTGAGTGTGGAAATTTACACAGCCACTCCGCACACGCTGTTCAATCTTCCACACGATGCAGATCGAGGGATTTTGCATCCGCACACGCTGTGGAACATGCTGCGCCATCATCCACGTGTGGACGATGGCGCAGCAAGTTCCACAGCGTGTGCGGCGGGCTAAAAAGCTGTGACGATGGTGCTTTGTATTTGTTTACTTTGTATTTTTTCGCGTGCCAATCTCCCTGCAGACGTTTAGCATCATGTACAGTCACGTTGCACACAACAGCAGAACATGATATATACATGTCGTGTTTATACGTATAACATATTCACGTGTGTGTATCATGTCCCCCTGAAAACTAATCTTGGCTACATAAAGTAGCTGTTAGTTTACATGGGAGTTTTGATCGTGATGTTTATAAGAACTATGAATTAAAGCCACTAAGTTATTAAATATTGTAACTCTGAATTTAAGGTTTTGTCAATTTTTACGTGTTGGTTTAAGTTTACATGCAGTATATATATATATATATATATTAACACGTGTTCACATTGCTAATTGCCATGCTCATAAAGTCACGGTTGATCAGTAACACAATGCTTTTATTTAGTACACGAAGTGTAGTCTTAACAGCAATTTACCATAAATAAATTTTACAATGTATATTCACAAGACGGCGTGATGCTGTTGCAATATGGTACTGCAGTGCATACCTGCCAGTTTATACCACCAACCCTTTTCCACACTAGTGCCTAGGTAAGCAATTGCTCTATATGCTCGCAATTCCAATTCGCTCTACGTTCACATTACAGCACCCATTTCTCTGTTCGCTTATACATGCGCGGAACTGTGTACCTTTAGTAGCGTGGTTAGTCACGCCCACACGTTACCTTCCTACTATACCTTTTTAAGTCAGGCTCACAGTTCTCAGCCATCTACTAAGCTTATCTGCTGCCGTTTTGCTTATGCTTTTGCAATAGTTGCAAATGACGTAAAAACGGTCAGCGCATTGCGATCACGTTGTTGGTGATTTCCTTCAGTCTTCGAAAATACATATAGTTTCCCCAAGTAGCCAGTTACCCATGCATCAAATCCACATCACCCTTATAATAATGACTGAAAAATTGTACTGGAAAAGTGGTTGCAGGGTGTATCGGCTTCAGAATAATCATACCTCTTGGACTTGGTCTTATTCTGAAAGTCCTGGTGAATAATAATTAATTATCGGATATTCCGCTAGATTGAAAGGTTTACATCAACATACCGTGATAAAGTGATATAGTTAATATTATTTATACAAAGGGAAAATTCACCAACATCTGACAAGATCTGCACAAGATTAACTATTGCTAAAAAAAAATTAACTTGCACGCAAAACCTGCCATTTATTATATAGCAAGCAACAAATATTCAATCATGCTCGTATAGGTAATTATACTAGATAACCACTGTATTAGCTCCAAATCGTGGGAGACCACGTAAGAAAAGCTTGTGAAGCGTTCCCCATTTTAATGTATACAAAACTCGGTATTTGCATGCAGTGCCATTTGCAAAGAACGCGGTTGCTTTGCCTTTTGCAAAAGTTTAGCATATAATATTTGGATTAACATAGCAGCTTGCAGTATGTAAGAAACATAAAATTACTGGGTCATTAAGAATAACTGGTAGCGTATAAGCTACAGACACAGACACACATGCACGCACGTGTGCACGCGCACACACGCACATGCACACGTACAAACATTAGCCAGCAGCTTTTTACACATATAGCGAATAGACAAGACTCGGTTTGCTTACAGATAACTGCTTACTAATAATATTAAAGGCAGAGACACGAATTTTCTTAATACAATCTTCTATGGAGTCGTTGCTCGAACACCAAAACCATTCACGTGATATTATCATATTAACAGGCGTATTTTTAAGTGTCACCATTCAGCTATGAGCAAGATGAATAAAATAATGCTATGAATACAAAAGGAAAAAAGAATATGAGTGAGAAAAATTTCGACACCTATTTGGACCTTATAAGAATGGACCGGGTACATGTTTGTATATGCAACGCTAGCTCAACTTTGCCCCCACGAGTGTGGGTAGTAGGAATGACTGGGGCATAGCGACAACACAGCTTGCCCGCAACATAAACACACAGCATGTTGGCTGACGAACTTCAGCACTAAATAAACTTGCACGAACTCACTCGGACTGATACAGCAGCCTCACCACAGGTGTATGTGCTACTAGATAACAAGCACACCATAAATAAACCACCATCCTTACAACCTGAGTGCCTCCTATCTCTTGGTGGGCTACTCAATGGAGAAACTTTTCTTTGTTTGTCCCTTTGTGTCAAAAGTGTCCCCAGAAACTACGGTCTATGGCTAAAATGTTTGTATGGGAGTGCATACACCACCGGCAATATCCCTCACTTCATCCTCTGCTTGTCGCAAGCCATTAGGCATGTTAGGCTTAAACCTTAAGTGACAAGTACCCTTCAGCTGCCATTAAGCCCCTACACCACATTATATCAGGAGTTGTATGTTAACTTACAACACAGGGCCTTCTTTGTTTGACTGGCACGTATGTCTAAATATTTTAGTGTTCCACCTGCCCTTTTTCGCAAATACAAGCACGAGTTACAAGTTACTCCACAGCCTCATCATGCTTAGATACACCGATGGAATTCTTTTCCAATAAAAAATCCTGCATTTTGTCAGCCAACGTGCTAAAACGGAAACATGGTAACAATTTGACATCTCAAACAAAGTAATATTGCTTAAAACCTTTATAAATTCATACTTAATGGCATCTAAATAGAGCCAGCAGTCAAATAATACACACACTGCTATTTAATTGATGAATCTCATTTAAAGGTTGCTATTGCACTACATTCTCTAATTAAATACAATTGGAAAACAAATTCACCTCAAAATACGACAGTTTATCCTCTTAAGCTGTAGCGTTACTTCATATCCTAACTGAACAACTACTGTATTTGTATTTTCCATATATACCCACTGTTTGCAACGGGAGTTATAAACAGGAAAAAACGTGCTTTGTTAAACTTTATACAATGCCCGGCACAATACTTTTCCCATTCTACTGAAATGTACAATATTCCCGTGATAGGCATTTTCGTATTAATTAGCTGAAGGATGAAGTCGCTACAAAACCCAGTAAATCATTGACAGGAATATTACAGATCAGTGAAGTCATTCGAAATTGCTCATCGAAGTATACTGTTTACCTCCCAGGAAGATACAACTTTGTGCTCTCTCTCTCTCTTTCGTTGCGTCGGGCAGGCGAGCACAGGACAGGGCACGAGAGCAAAGAATAGCAATGCAGGGGGGTGCCAGGAGTCATTCACAGTATAAACTTGCCGACTATGAGGCCTAGAATGAGGGCGGCAACCAGGTACATGATTGGTGGGATCGCGTTGCCCTGGGTGAGCTGCTGCAGCGTGCTGAACGTTCCCGTCTGCCCGGCAGGCACGGTGTGCACCTGCTCCGACCCAGAGGACGACTGCACGGCCCGCCGTAACCTCAGGTCGTCATCCTGAAACAAGAGAGCGTAGATAGTAACCGTTAGCTACAACAACACTTTAGCATTGAAGTGATAACACACTACGTTGCAGCAAATCCTACTGAATCCACAGAAATGGCTGAGGGTGAATGTTGCAGTACATATGTCCCAAGCGCCAGTGAGATATGTTATATGTTTTTCTCTCTAAACATCATTGTTGAATTGAGTGTTAAGGCTAACTCAGGTCGCCCTTACGACCTAGTCACGGACAAAATTTGAAGATCGTACGTCAAAACTCGACACGAGTTATCTTACGATCGAAAATACGGTCGCCGACTGCGATCGCAGGAATAGAAACGGTTCTATTTCTATGCGACGGTCGGCGACAAATCGTGAGTGGCAGCCAATCACCACTACGTGTCGAGTCACATGATTATCAAAAGTCACGTGGTTAACAAAATGGCAGCCTACACAGCAGTTTACAAGGAGGGAATATTGCACAAACCCTTTCTCAAATATATATTAAGTTTTCCGTATATATCACAGGCAATTTTTTTAATTCTTTTTCTGCACATGATTATAACGATTTTCAGAAAATTGAGGATAGATTTACGAAGTTACCTGATGTTTACTGGTAAGCGCCATTTTGTTGGTCATGTAACTCGTTTTATGTAGACTGGTCCCGGCGTCAAGCTTGCTCTGTTTGTGCTAAAGAACTGCTTGTGCTAGTACAAATACTGGGGCCGCAAACCTGTCTACGTTTCCTGCAGAACACTACGATCTGATCGGCGATGTATAGTGTTGCTACGCTGCTAATCGGCGATAGTCAAATCATAGGACGACCTGCATGAGCAGGGCTTTAAGGGAATATTTTATAGTATTTTCCTTTTCACAAAACTTGTTGGTTTGACAGAATCATCCTTTTCACAAAACTTGTTGGTTTGACAGAATCATAATTGTTCCAACAATTGTTCCACACAATGTAGAGGGTAAGGCTTTAATGAAAACTTTTATAGAAAGATGTGGTAAGCCCACATCCCCTGGCTAATTCGGCATTCTCTAACATTCCATGTGATCCTGTCTGCTTTTACTACTGCGGTCAGTAAAAGAGTGGTAATTTGAACTGGTCAGTGATATTACAACACAGTGGTTTATCCTTGCTAATTTGGGAAGCTGAGGGTGTAGCTTTCACTGTGACACTTACTATATCAGCTGTTACTAGTAGAATGGGATATTCAATGAGCTAGGCACTGTTGATACACTAACTGTTAGCATTACATAAAAATTACTTACAAAGTGTCACTGCTTACTGCTAAATTCTACTGCTACATTCTGTGCTAGACAAATAACTAGAAAGGGCAGTTGTCGCCAACTACATGTATCCCCCGTGATCTAGTTAAGTATGAATGAAATATCTCTGTAAGAACGTAGAAGGTAGGTAAAGTTAAATAAGTCACAAAGACAACGGTTTGTTACACAACTCATCTCCCTGAGATGTGCAAGTATGTTAAAATTGGTTGCCTTAGGGGTTTTGGTACGCGACACACCTTCTCCCTAAGATGTGTAAGTATACCAAGTTTGGTAGCGCCAGGTCAATTAGGGGCCGAGTTATAGAGTGGAAGGGAAATATGATGAAGGTCAAGGTAAAGGTCAAATAAAGATCGTAGTGACCTGGTTTTGGTACGCTGCGCACCTTCTCCCCAAGATGTGTAAGTATACCAAGTTTGGTAGCGCTGGGTCAATTAGGGGCCGAGTTATAGAGCGGAAGGGAAATATAAGCAAGGTCAAGGTAAAGGTCAAATAAAGGTCGTAGTGACCTGGTTTTGGTACGCTGCGCACCTTCTCCCAAAGATGTGTAAGTATACCAGGTTTGGTCGCGCTAGGTCAATTAGGGGCCGAGTTATAGAGCGGAAGGGAAATATGATCAAGGTCAAATAAAGGTCGTAATGACCTGGTTTGGGTAGCGCTAGGTCAATTAGGGGCCGAGTTATAGAGCGGAAGGGAAATATGATCAAGGTCAAGGTCAAATAAAGGTCGCAGTGACCTGGTTTTGGTACGCTGCGCACCTTCTCCCCAAGATGTGTAAGTATACCAAGTTTGGTAGCGCTAGGTCAATTAGGAGCCCCGAGTTATAGAGCGGAAGGGAAATATGATGAAGGTCAAGGTAAAGGTCAAATAAAGATCGTAGTGACCTGGTTTTGGTACGCTGCTCACCTTCTCCCCAAGATGTGTAAGTATACCAAGTTTGGTAGTGCTAGGGCAATTAGGGGCCGAGTTAGAGAGCGGAAGGGAAATATGATCAAGGTCAAGGTAAAGGTCAAATGAAGGCCGCAGTGAGCTGGTTTTGGTACGCTGCTCACCTTCTCCCAAAGATGTGTAAGTATACCAAGTTTGGTAGCGCTACGTCAATTAGGGGTCGAGTTATAGAGCGGAAGGGAAAGTGTCTGCGGCGGCGGCGGCTGGGGAGACATGAAACCATAGTATCCCCGCCGACTTCGTCGCGGGGGATACAATTAAGTTAAATTTTCAGTATGATAGTTAGTGGCGGCGGCTGGGGAGACATGAAACCATAGTATCCCCGCCGACTTCGTCGCGGGGGATACAATTAAGTTAAATTTTCAGTATGATAGTTAGAATTTTTTTGAGTGCAAATACCCAGCACTTCTTGCCATGCTTGGTATTATACAAAAGGTTTAATTAATTAACAACGGCCTAAGATATGTGTTTATGTGATATGTTGTGCTATTGAATAACCATAATTTCTCCAAGTAATGAAAGTGTCAATGACACTGTAGCTCACCTTGGGTGTGATAGAAGAGGGAGGGGGGATATATAAAGCAAGAGTATATTATATAGCATAGCTCCCATTATATAGCATATCTCCCATTATATACTCTTGATAATGATATATGCATAAGTTTTGATGCGAAAATAAATGTTTCAGATCTAAAAGTCTGAAATCTTGACGAGAGATGGTCCTACGCCTAAATGATCGCCATTTTGGTTTTCGATTATCACGCAAATAAAAACAATAAAATATTCCAGTCAAATTAGTGTAACGAAGAATCTAAAACACAATATTACACGTATATAGGTATGATTGTAGAGTTGTTGACCAGTTTGATGAAATAAACGTAATAGGACGTTGTAATCTCTCCCATAGGAGTAACAACTGTTTTGGGGCTAGCCTTACACATTCACATACCAAAATTTAACAAAATCGAATGAATTTAGATAGCCATTTTCATTTTTGCCAAAAAGTTGGCGTGGCTCAAAAGTAGGTCGACTGGCGTGCTCCAAAATAGGAAGCTCAAATCTCTCCCATAGGAGTAACAACTGTATTCAATTTGAAACATGTGGGTCAAACGGTTCTTGAGTTATCGTTGACCATAGGCAGACACTCTAAATGCATAGTGAAATTGCCAAAATCTACCTAATTTGCATCATTTAAAAAAAAAAATCAAAACCTGTGTGATATGTTTTGGGGCCAGTCCTCATTAATTCACATACCAGAAAAGAGCAAAACCCATTGAACCTGAACTGACTTGTGGCCATTTCTATTTTTGTCAAAAAGTGGACGTGGCTCGAATGTAGGTAAACTGGCGTGCTCCAAAATAGGACTTTCAAACCTCTCCCATACTGCCATAGGAGTAACAACTATATGCAATTTGAAACATGTGGGTCAAACGGTTCTTGAGTTATCGTTGACCGTAGCCAAATTTTGACGGACGGACGGACGTACGACACCCCATGGCAATAGCTCATCTTGACGATGTCAAGGCGAGCTAATAACCAAGACAGTAGACATACCCTCCATGTCTTGTTTTCCTTCCTCAAAGCATCTATTTCTGACAACAATCTCTTATTTTCTGCCATTGCATTCCTTAGATCCGTCTCCACGTTGTTTACCTGAAAATGAACCTATATATTACATACGATATCTGTACACGCAAAAACTTGGAAAAGCCCTGTTAAGCCTGGCAATAAATATTGCCAATAGGATGGTGAAGTGAAGGTCAAGTGTCTACAATGCGGAGTTAATAGGCTCATTACACATAAAATTACCAACACAGCCTATGTTTACAACGAAAACTGACCGCAAGTAACCTTTCATAAACCCGACTGAAAATTGTCACATAAATTCAATATAATTTATAGTCCAAGACCGTGACTTTCAGGTGCAGGCGTACAGACACACTCACACACAAACAGGCAGACGTGCAGGCATGCACACGCACAGGAGGAGACTCACCTTGGGCGAGGCTCTTGCCTCACTAAGCTTTGCCACATTCGGCTTCATCTCCTCCACACCTGGTGCAGGTGCAGGAGATGAGGACACGTCTAAATTATTCTGCGCCGAGTCAACAGGAAATATGAACACACACTTGAGTTTGCTGTCCATCAGCTGATCTGGTGACGCATCTCTCCACTGAAAGAGCAAGCAATGACCAACATGATGCATTAGAATCAGTCTTTGCCATATCACACCATCGCACAGGTATCGCCACGCATGGAGATGCTACGCACACAACTTTACAGATACAAAAGATTAAGTCGCTGCGTACAAACGCTCCATGTCGGCATGGTGAGTCACAGACGTAGGCACAGTGTAAAATATACATAATCACGTGAAAATACCATTGAAACACACTGCATTTGTGCCCAATAATCAACTGTTTACTCTATTTAATTATATACATACCACTGTCTCCAGGTCAGGATCATCCGTGGCCGCAAACACTGTCTGCACCATAAACTTGTGTTTGCTCTTCTCATTGGGATCAAATTCAAAGGGTTGCAGCATTACTGAAATGAATAAAATGAGGCATTGTGACCACTAATGTTTTACATGCAATTGATGATTAATACACTGCTAATTAATTATTAATAGTGTTCAGGGTCTGTTAAACACAGCCTTGTACGCCTAATGCTACAAACATCTAGCTCATCTGTGATGAATAAAACGCATTTTAATTCGATGTATTTTTGTCCGTTTTCATCTGATAAATTTGCTCCATGGGGATTTAAGAAATATAAAATACCTGCACCTATGTAATGCAGTAGTAAATTAAAATTCCATACAATTTAACTGGGAAATCACATGATGCATGGATATATATGCGTACACACATGCACACAACTTGTGTGTGTATATATATATATATAACCTAAGTAAATTGGACAATAGTATTTTGACAAATATTAAGTAGGGACTATAACTTGTATTACTGCGATTACCTGATATTAAAACATCAGCATTGGGAGAAATTATGCCACTGTTAGGCCGCACACAGTAGCGCTTTGGCGCGGTCGTTTTCACCTTGAAGCAAACCTTTTTTTCTGTTGGGTTGATCAGTTTTAAATTGGTTGTCACAACGTCTGTGAAGGGACCTACAAAATAACAATTAATGCACTTCAGTAATTCAGAGATGATTCGTTACGTGATGGCATGAATAACAAATCCTGTATAACTACAAATAAAACGTTTTACAGTAGAGACCAACTACCCCAGTTGGGCTGGCTACACGAGGTATTTACACAGTAATTGTGACAGTATTATACTATTATTCTTTATTGTACGTATATATATATATCAAGAGCTAATAATACCTATTATTAGCTCAATAGGTATTATTAGCTCTTGATATATATATATATACATATAACAATTAATACACGAACAGTAATTTGGAGACGATTCGAGACGTGATGGCATGAATGACAAATCCAGCCTTAAAAACTATAAATTAAACTTTTTTTTACAGTAGAGACCAACTACTCGAGTTGAGCTAACTACATGAGGTATTTATACAGTATATTATTCTTTATTGTACGTGTGTATAATAATATATGTTACCTAATATAGGCTAAGAAAAAATCATCACCATGTTATAGAAAGCGAGTTTTCATACCAAGTTAAAATGAGCCTGAGCCAGGAACATCTTTTAGGAACATAGGGCAAAATATGAATAAATTAAAGACCATACAGGTGAGGGGTCTTGATAATATTGCTGCAGATATTGTTGCTCTTGTCAGATGGTATGTATGTACAGCTAAAACTTTGTGACAATTTGCAGTCAGGGTTTTAATTTCAACTAACCAAACACAAATCAACTGAAATTACTCGATAGCCAAGCTGTTTATATACAATCTTAACGTCAATGCATTAGAACAAATAAAAAGTTATCTGTTGACATAAGGATTATAAGCTAACAATGAGAGATTGTCTGAGCAATTATACATAGGTCTAGCTACCATAACGGACTCACAACAGAAGCATATCACTTCAATGATTTAAAATGTATAAGAGGTCTTATTAACATAAATTTATTTGCATAAATTGTACCAGGCAGACCATAACATTTACTCTCATACAAGGTTATGCAATAATAAACATCCAACCAATACACAATGATATGATGATGATGGTTGGCACAATGATAGTTGGCAGCTGTTTTATGCTAATAGCTGCTATGCATAAATACTTATATATCAGCAAAAGTTATAGTAATATGATGAAACAAAAAATACAAATCTAATAGTGTTGACAATATTTTTACAATCTTTATTGCCCACTGAATATTCTTTTAATCCTATTTTTACACCTTCCTGCAACTGGAGGTAGAAAAAAACTTTGGATCAAGGAAGTACATAGTAAACATTTTATCACAAGAAATAACATTAAGTACTCAATCAGTCACCCAAATTAAAAAGTTTAACCCAACACAAACTACAAGCACTAACTATTTGCAAAACGAATCCTTATCTTGTCAGTAACGACAGCTCTGTTAGAGAAATTCGTTTTGCGAAATAGAAGATTACATGTGTGGGAATTTATGATCTGGTAAGTTGGCACATTTATTGTCACGTATCATATACAGGGCTACCACTAGCGTTCGCCACCTTCACAACATGCAATAAATAAATAACAGTGGTGATTTTACCCTAAGTGGTGACTACAATTAGCAATTGATTTAACTGCTCACAAAATTACGATTGACTAATGAAATCGGCAAATTGCAGTGTCGTGCCATAAAATATTTTCGTACACCTATTTTCTGATACCCATCACCGTTTTATGCCTTGCTTAGCATATATATATATATACGATAAAGTGAACAATGGCTATAGTTTTCCATTCCAAGGTGGTTCAAGTCTTGGCTCAAACTTTAAAACATCCAGAGGGAGCCCAGATATAAACATTACTTTGTATTTGAAATTACTTTCATAAGCATGTTTGCAATGTTGGTTAAAAATCAACTTACACAAAGTTTAGTGATTAAACATAAAGGGAAAACCAATGCATGAATTTTCTTTTAGTACCCAACAACTGTATATAGAGTAACTATGTGTTAGCTGTTATACTGTAATGATGTGACTTGACCTATTGCAAGTCACTTCCAACAGTGACAGTTTCTACATCAGGAAAGTTTCTCCTTTATGAAAAGGTGAATTACGTATTACGTAAAGCAGAAATACCTAACTACACAACCGCTTCATAATTCACATTCAACATGTTCAAGAAACTTACCTGATCAGAATGGAGTGGAGCCTTTAATTTTACAATATACTGTCACATGTGTTTTATGCTACTGTGCTAGTGTTTTATGTACTGTACTATGTCCTTTCAAAATCTTTTATCTGCTCAAAAATAGCCAACATGCATTATTATTGCTCAGAATTATAGTTGGAATTATTGGCAGCGTGATCAGTTCTGTCCCCACCAAACAAACTCATGCTACAACACACGCACGCATGCATGCATGCACACCCACACCACCTGTGTTACATGCGTTATATATATATGTGCTGTAGCGTGATCGTCGTGGGGAAAGCAGACTTGCCAGTGATATTGATCTTGATCAGTGCACATTAAAAATTAATAATATGAAAAGTCTTTCAACTCTATCTTTTAGGATAGAGGTTTCTAAACATTCTGTAATTTTAGAGCATTATAATATTGAATTTTTCATGATTAACAAACGAAACATATGTGATTTGAAAACGAATTCAAATACTGCTTCCTACTGTCACAAGTTGAAGTTGCATATAACTGAGTGAGTGAGTCAGAAGTAGGTCCAGCCCAGGCAACAACATACTACAGAAACTGCTGTCAGTCAAACCAAGGACATCGACTGCCTATTTATAGTAGTAGTAGCAGTATATATCTTTATACACTCGACTCGGCTTGTTCCTCACCGAGTGAAAGATGACGTGCCAAGTTCATTTTCCAGTCTGTAGACTGTGTTTGTGGGCAAGTCCACAGGCACTTGGAACGTCTCAATAAAAAAAAAAGGTAAACAAACACGAAATGTATTTACTACCAAAGTCTTAATGTTTCTCTACTCTATTTCACCTATAATCACCTGTAAATGCCGGTCAAATGCTCATCTGCAACACACAAGTACACCGCACGCTAGCTGCTGCACACTGACACATAAATATATATAGCAGGTAAAAAAGCATGCTGCCAAAATTCGCTCGACGCTCGCTTGATTTCACACGAATACAAGACAAATATTCAACCATTCCACTCCATCTTTGTTTCTATTTGAAGAACAGTGTTCATTTGTTATAAAAACATTCTGTCTGTGTTCGTAACCGAACTGTGTCACGCAAAATCACACAAAGCATGACGAAATTCTCGCGTTCGCTCCCGTTGCGCAGTTTATGTAAATGGCTGTCGGAATCAGGAAACACCCACCGGCGCTTTTCGTGACCTCATTTTTGCGCCGCATGTAATGTTTGAATGTCCAAAACAAATAACACTGAAGACACATTAGCTGAGTTTTACTGGTTCATGCTTTTAATGTGAGTGACCGATTTCTGTTCGATTTCCTGGACCCCAAAAGACATACACAACTCTACCAACCAAAACCAATAATGATATTCCCGCTTCCCGGTATTGCTTGAGCTTGTCCTCAGCTCTTGTGACCTGCTGCCACCTAGTGTCAAAATCAAACAATAACTGCTCAACTTAACTATAAATATTACAGATTCTATATCTACGATACTACACCGCATTATTGCAACGCTCCACTGGCGGCTTCGACGAGGCTCGTACGGGAGTTGGAAAGCAGCGTGGTAGTTTCCCAAAATGCAGTGTGCCGCCTATAGCCCTGTACTTGCAGCCTTTTACATAAACTGCGCAACGGAAGCAAACGCAAGAATTTCGTCAGGCTTTGTGTGATTTCGTGTTACACAGCTCGGTTACGAACACAGCCAGTATGTTTTTATAACAAGTGAACACTGCCCTTCAAATAGAAACAAAGATGGAGTAGCATGGTTGAATGTTTGTGTTGTACTCGTGTGAAATCAAGTGAGCGTCGAGCGAATTTTGGCAGCACGCTTTCCTACTTGCTATATATTTACAGAGTGGCTATATCGCCCGGCAGCCGGCATATATCTGACGGCTGCCGGGCACGGTCTTCGATTTCCTAAATGCCCGGCAGTTTGTAATTTTCAGTGTTATCTCAAGTAAACAAGGGTTAGGGTTAGGGTTAGGAACTGCCGGGCATTTGGGAAATCAAAGACCGTGCCCGGCTGCCAGGCATATAGCCACAGCGATATATTTATGTGTCAGTGTGCAGCAGCTAGCGTGCAGTGTACTACTATAGTAGTACACTTGTACTAAATACTATAGCTCTAGTACTATAGCCCGCGTACATTGACTGCCGCAGGGCTATAGCACATTGTCAGCTGGAAATAGCATCAACACCAGTTCCCAAAGTTCCCACGAAAAATCGCTTTACAAAACGCAAAATGATCGAGCTTTTTAACACTTATCTATCTACGTGGACATCTCACCTATCTTATTGAACATTTTACACAACTTTACACCATGTATTTATCTTTTTATTCCACAAAGTAAGCACTACTTCCAAATTCTGTTTGAAATGCTGTGTGCACGCTAGCGCTAGTACTATAGCCCGCGTACATCGACTGCCGCAGGGCTATAGAACATTGTCGGCTGGATTTTGCAGTAACACCGGGTCCCGACAGGTCTCACTCAAAATGGCTCACAAAACGGAAAATATTCGGGCTTTTTAACACTTATTTATCTACATGGACATCTCACCTATCTTTTTGAACCCTTTCCACAACTTTACACCATGTATTTATCCTTTTATTACTCAAAGTCAGCACTACTGGCATTCCCGTTTCAAATATTCTGGCGTGCGAACGCGTAATAAAAAGCCCGATCATTTTCCGTTTTGTTAGCCATTTTGAGTGGGACCTGTCGGAAACCGGTGTAGGGACAGTGATTTTCCGCGATCGCGGAAAAACGTCACGCGTTCGCACGCCAGAATATTTGAAACGGGAATGCCAGTAGTGCTGACTTTGAGTAATAAAAGGATAAATACATGGTGTAAAGTTGTGGAAAGGGTTCAAAAAGATAGGTGAGATGTCCATGTAGATAAATAAGTGTTAAAAAATCCCGATCATTTTCCGCGTTTTGTAAGCCATATTTGAGTGGGACCTGTCGGGACCCGGTGTTGCTGCAAAATCCAGCCGACAATGTTCTATAGCCCTGCGGCAGTCAATGTACGTGGGCTATAGTACTAGAGCTATGTGCACGCGTGACGTCACCCGAAATGTAGCTGCATCATAGCCTGCCACAGTGTAGCTGGCCATGTGTTTGCCCCGTGCACTCACAGCATTTCAAACGGAATTTGGAAGTAGTGCTGGCACTTTGAGGAATAAATGCATAAATACCTGGTGTAAAGTTGTGGAAAGTGTTCAAAAAGATAGGTGAGATGTCCATGTTGATAGATAAGTGTTAAAAAGCCCGATCATTTTGCGTTTTGTAAAGCGATTTTCGTGGAAACTTTGGGAACCGGTGTTGATGCCATTTCCAACTGACAATGTGCTATAGCCCTGCGCCTGCAGCAGTCAATGTACGCGGGCTATAGTACTAGAGCTATACTGTATACATACTACTAGTACTACTACTACTAGTACTAGTAGTATAGATACAATAATGTAACCCAAACCCAAGAGGATAGGGTTTGGGTTACATTATTGTATCTACTACTACTACTACTAGTAGTAGTAGTAGTACTACTTGTGTGTTGCAGATGAGCATTTGACAGGCATTTACAGGTGATTATACTTATAGGCGAAATAGAGTAGAGAAACATTAAGACTTTGGTAGTAAATACATTTCGTGTTTATTTACCATTATATTTTTTTATTGAGACGTTACAAATAGTGAAATACAATTACAAGTGCCTGTGACCGTGTCTGCGAGTCTACGTGGGCATCCTAATTTCTAGCCTTACTAACTTACCTTTAAATCTTAATTCTGTTGACGGCTCTAGAACAATAACTTGGTCTTGTTTTCCAGACATTATGATTTAATTAAGTCTTATGAACGACGACTATGTAACAATTTTGACGAAAAACACTTTAAAATACAAAGTTGAAAACACACACAAGATGATATGGCGAGGTAAAGTCCTACCGAAATTGAGGCTGGTTGGCTAGTGTAAAAATCAAGATCGGATTATGCCATGCCTACATATGTAGTATTTTAAAATTAGTATAAAATTAAAATATTTGAGTTAATATATCATTTAAAGTAATAGTACAATAAGATTATTAAAAACAATAAGCTATATTTTCATTATGTCAATAACAAATGTTGATGTCCTTCCTAAGTTCCTTCCATGTTCTATAGAAAACCAGACACCTCCAAGATACACAACAAGATACAGCGTGCGAAGTTCGAACACGGTAACGTGCGTAAACACAGACATTAAATAAACAAGTATGAAGTAACTGTCAAATATATTATTTAATAATTTGTTAAGTGATCCGCAAACACATGTCAGGGATTTTGGAGGTTAGTGGCCGCAATGCTGGGCGCAGGAAAGTGGGCTTGCGCCTGTACCGTAGTATTTGGACGCTCGCCCGAAACTGGACATTCCTAAGTGCGCATGCGCGCATGCTCTTTTGTTTTTCTCTTGTTTTCTTTTTGTTTGAATATTGTTTTGCAGGGCTGTAGGAAATAGGGAATCAGTTGATCACTTGATGATACACAGAAATCTGTGCATCACTTCGTGATACCTAAGCCAAGGTGCCTAAAGTGGATTTGCACCGGAAATAGTAGCCATGCTCTTTTGTTTTCTTTTTGTTTCGCTTTGTAACCTGACACACATAACACAGTCTTACTAACTTACTACATTGCAAATTGTTTCAATCAAACGTTTCTATGAGTGACCGGGTTGGCCGCCATGTTTGTTTATTGCGACCGTTTTCAATGGGCGAGATGTGCAGATGACTACTGTGCATGCTGCGCATGCGCCCTTGCAAAACAAGACTCAAGAGGTGCCTGCGTGCATGCGCACTTGGGAGCGTCCAGTTTCGGGCGAGCGTCCAAATACTACGTCTACGGTACACGCCCACATCAGCACATGTCTGCTCCACTGCTGCGCTGGCAGCGAGTCAGCCCTACACTCACACTCACAGTCACAGGCACTTGGAGCGTTCCAATAAAATATAATGCTAAATAAATACGAAATCTATTTACTACCGAAGTCTTAATGTTTCTCTACTCTCTTTCACCTGTTATTGCCGTCCAAATGCTCATCTGCAAGTTGCAACACACGCTGGCTGCCGCACGCTAGCTGCTGCACACTGACACATAAATATAAAGACTATATTTATGTGTCAGTGTGCAGCAGCTAGCATGCGGCAGCCAGCGTGTGTTGCAGATGAGCATTTGGACAGCATTTAGAGGAAACTGTCGGCAATAATAGGTGAAAGAGAGTAGAGAAACATTAAGACTTTTGGTAGTAAATAGATTTCGTATTTATTTAGCATTGTATTTTTAGGCCGTCGGCTACGCGACCGGTTTCGGACGGGCAGCCGCCTAGGCTACGTGTCCGAGACATCAGGTCGAATTAACCGACAGGCACCGCGCAATATGCCGGCGGTGCCCCTACAATTGCCGTTACTGCCGCCTGAAAATCCAACGCGACCGCGCCAGTGACCCCGCCCTGCCCTTTCTGTAATTGCCGTCGGTGCCAATCTGCTACTGGCTAGACTTGGATTGCGGCCCCGCACTGTTTGTCGCAGAGCGTGCTACAATTCTCTAGCAGAGCGGAGCGCCGATATACCGTTCTACGGCGTTTAAAAACAATATACGTGGTATTGCTGCAACCGCTGCAGGTAGACGATCCGATAAATTAGTTGCACCCGTGGTATGCCCGTGGTAGCGAACACGAATTTTAAAATGCTGCACGCCCTGACTCGGCCGGCGTGCGATTTAAAGCGCGCGGAAACGACACTCGCGCAAGAATATGGCCATGTTGATCTTTTACGGTGTGTAGCTTGCTTGCTAAGTTGCAGTAAATTCTTAGAGAAATTTTAGTAGAATTCATACAGATGACACAAAGCTTTCCATAACCAATGGCCTTGGTGCCTTCTCAAATTGTGAGAGTTGCCTTGATCGCCTTTTAACAATTGCCTCGGTGCCATCCATTTTAGAGAAATTCAAGGCAATTTTTCACATCCCCAAAAATTGCCTTGCCGCCTGTCTGTCGCTTTAATTCGAGGCCTGCCAGACATCCATCTCACACAGTGATCTTGCGACACGTACACGCATAATTGCGCAACGGTACGCTCTGCTGATTGCCGAGTGTGTGTGTGTGCATGAAAGAGAGAGAGAGGGAATGTGTATGTGTGTGTATGCGTGAGCGAGAGAGAGCTAGATGAGTGTATGTGTGTGTGTGCACGTGTGTGTGTGTGTGCGTGCGTGCGTGCGTGCGTGTGTGCGTGCGTGCGTGTGTTCGTGCGTGCGTGTGTGTGCACGTGTGTGTGTGCACGTGTGTTTGTGCACGTGTGTGTGTGTGTGAGAGAGAGAGAGAGAGAGAGAGCTAGAGGTGTGTGTGAGAGAGATAGAGCTGTGCTTGTGTGTGTGAAAGAGAGAGAGAGAGCGAGAGAGGACGGATGAAAGGATAGACGGCAGCAGTGCATAATATATTGTATATTTTTGACAATCAGCAGAGCATCCCCGTTGCGCAATCATGCGTGTACGCGAGGCGCGCGATCACTGTAAGTGGATGTCCGGATGCGTTGCCTGGAGGCTAGGCGACCGGTTCCGGACGCGTAGCCATTGCGTATATTTAGCTCACCTTGACATCGTCAAGCTGAGCTATTGCCATGGGTCGTCGTACGTCCGTCCGTCCGTCCGTCAACATTTCGCTTCGGTCAACGATAACTCAGGAACTGTTTTACCCACATGTTTGAAATTGGGTATAGTTGTTAACGCTATGCTCCCATATGGAACGTCCTATTTTGGAGCATGCCAGTCGACGTACTTTCGAGCCACGGCAATTTTTTGGCAAAAATGGGAATTGCCATTAATCAGTTCAGGTTCAACGGATTTTGCTCATTTTTGGTATGTGAATGAATAAGGGCTAGGGGTTTTGATATTTAAAAAAAAAATTATGCAAATTAAGTAGGTTTATGCAATTTATGCAAAAAACGCAGATAACAAACAGTCTGTGGTGTCACACTCGTCTGGTTCGTTTTACAAGATTTCACTGACAATATCTTTAATGCAAAATTGGTATTTCCTCTCCACCCTGCCGATAAAACGTCTATATTGGAGTAAAGTTTTACAAAACATGTCGGAACACAGCATAACCTATTTATTTCGAACGCCATCGCTACAAAGCGGGTATAGCGCCATCTACTGTCACAAATTGTGATTCATTTTGGTTTATAAATTATTATTGCGATATACAGATGGCAACCGTGTGCTACCGCCTAGAAAAACTCATACGAAGTAAACACTTCCATGCCATAAATTTACCTTTGACAAAAGTTGTGTTATGGGCAGGTAAACACCATTGTCACGTGGTACATAGCAGCTACGTGGAATAAGCGTATCCTCTCAATCTTACACGTTACACATCGGGAGCTCCGCTTTTAGGCAGTGCATAAATCTGAATATTATAAAAACGTTATTTGTGGTGAGCTACAGTGTCATTGACACTTTCATTTATTGAAACGCTCCAAGTGCCTGTGCCTACACTCACTACATTAGTACATACCACGCTCCCGAATCACGATACAGCGTACATGCGTGATGCAGACACGCACGCGCACGGACACTTATACTACGCAGTAGTCTGGGCGTGGTGTGGGAAGATGGCGGGGGGGCTTGATTTTGCTGTCAGTGATCTGCTCTACAATGAAAATTTGTGTAGTTTTTGTACACTATTTCTAATACTATTACTGTATTATAATTTATACCTGTCAACTGTTTCCTGAAAGTTTATTTATAACTTGCTTATATATCACTCTAGTGATATATACTACCAAGGCAAGGGTTAATAATATTATTAATAATAATAACAGTCACTATCATGTGACTATGTATTTTATGTAATCAATCATGTCACTGGTCCAGATTAGCAATGCTAATCAATAAATTGATTTGCTTGTACATTGATTTGCTATAAATCGATCTGCAATTACGTTACCAGTTACATTACCAATACCAGTCACCTGTTACGTTACTAGGGGTGTTTAGTAGCGAGGCGATAGATGTTACTGGATATTAGAGGTGTAACGATACACTAGGGTCACGATACGATATGTATCGCGATGCAAAGACAGAATGAATGAATCGCCTACCTTATACCAGGATTAGCACTTTTGCATTATAGTAGATTGCAGTGTTACCACGAGCACCAACACATTAACCAATTATGCTATGCTATATATAGAGTTGGTTAAGGGAACCAAAGCATTGCAGTTGAGGAGGCCCTATGCTCGATGGGAGCCAAATGGGGAAAAAAGTCATTTTATATAACAGTTACGGCAATACACCCTTGTGTGTCTCTGGTTCGGGAGTTGTATGGATTAGTCGTAGCTGTAGCAGTAGCGTATAAATAATATTCAAGTTAACTAAAATAATTTTATTAGCTACACTCGCATTATCCTTTGGGATTACAATAAATGCACACCTCCCCATGTACCTAAATTGTTCTTACATGTAGTTCATTCATCTGAATTTATCACTCTTATTCTTAGGCTCCATAGGTCAAACGTACCCAGTAAAATTTAAAGTGGATGTCATGCCGAATTCAACACATTTGAAATGTATACAATTGGCAGAAACTAGTTAATTAAAACTAATATATTGTTTACTAGTAAAACATAATCTGTAGTAGTGTTAAGGTGGCAGAACCAGAAGCTGGTATAAAAGTATAATAATTGTAATGCTGTAACATTAATTTGTTTTCGTTTGTTTCACTAGGTTCACAAAAGATATAAATAGTACTAATTTAGGACCTATTCGATCGGATGGATGGAACAGGGAACAATAGTACTAACAATCTTGCCGATGATAAACACTTGTACTGGATAACAGAAGCCATGAAGCTAGTAATTATACTTTAAAATCTTTGAAGTTGTAGTGTTAAGTTTAAAATGTATTTATTAAATCCAGAATCTTACACTCAGAATTGTGCTGTGGTGGCAACTGTAGACATTCACAGCCAAGTCTGTGTTAGCAGATACCTGTATAGGACAGTCGCCGATCTATAAAGGACACAAGTTTGTGTTTTTCCATTGAGTGACCCTAATATAAGGATTTTACTGTATATTAAAAATCACATGTATGTTGCTGTGAGTCGTTCTCATGGTTGGCGTTAGTGTTGTGGCTAAGAGCATTAAGCAAGCTATATTTGTTTATTTTAATTGGGATGTGGGCAACAGATAAGTTTCTGATTGTCAGGTTCTTGGTTCATGAAGGCATTTAAAATATGTTTATATATTCGATTTCGATTTAGGCCAAGGATGCCCTAGAACAGGGAGAGGTGCCTGTAGGGTGCATGTTTGTGTACAGAGGCAAAGTTCTTGGAACGGGTGGAAATGAAGTTAACAAGACTAAAAATGCAAGTAAATTATTATCAAGCAATTCTCACATGGATAATTGCAATTGGTTTATAGTACTCACTGTAAAGGTTATTCTAAATCATTCCAAAAAATGCTTGACTGCTAACAATTGACTGCTGAAATAGGTTGCATTATTTATATGTTTGTAACTTGGACATATGTTCTTTATGCACGTCATAGGTTTCATCGTAGTGTATTGTAACCTGCTCCTATTTCCCTATTTTCCCTGCTTTTTTAGGCAACCAGACATGCGGAAATGATTGGGATGGATCAGGTCTTGAAATGGTGTCGGGTTCAAGGACTGGACCAAGCATGTGTATTTAGAGAAACTGTGCTATATGTTACAGTAGAACCATGCATAATGTGTGCCGGTGCTCTTCGGCTTATCCGTATCCTCTGTAGAAACCTTTTTTGTGTAGTATATGATATATATCGTAGAAGTAGCTCTATAGCAATTTTGTCGGTTTATGCTTACAGGAGGATGCGATTTATATCCATCATTTAAAGTCTACCTGGGTAACGGTTTATCACCATCTTATCGATTGATTAACCTCGTACTATTTGAACATCTTAATTATCATTTTACCTGGCACCTCACCTTCCTCATACTGCCTTAATTCAGTCACATTCTTCCAAATTTAACTTATTACAATTATTTTCAACTTGACATTATTCTGGGTTATGCCTTTATGAGCATCACTATTTCTTTGTTGTCCCATCATGATTTTGCTATCCCTTATTGTAAAAGACTATAATTAAAAATTCGTTGTATTCACATTTAGTTATATATCAGAGATGTAAGGTTTCCGATTTTTGACGGAATTCTGATATTCTGATATTTTCAATAAAGATTCTGATTCTGTGAGATGGCCTGAAATTGCACATTGAAAATTCCAGAGTCTCTATGCATCTCTGCAAGGACATGCCAGGTCGCCTTTGGGGTGCCATTCGCCCCCCATTCAGTGGCCTACGGCCACTGTTGTCGGAGTGTCTGACTATGTTCCTATTTTTTGGACAAATACCACTTACATCTCTGATATATCTATATATATAAAGTTGTTCAGCCGAATTTGTGTGTTCACGCATAACTAGAGAACTCCGCAGCCTAGAGGAAAACTAAAGATATTTTCAGAATCAGCACGTCTGGGAGGTAGTTCTGGCTGAAACAAAAATTTAAAAAAGTTAAAAAGTGAAACATTCATAAAAAATTCTATTGATCAATAGATGGCGGTCACGTACGTACACACAGCATCACATCTGAATCCATGGTGTATAAACGTGATGGCGCGATGGGCTTATCAGTACAACATCCATCTGCTACACCTGGAATCCGGGTTCGAGTCCCAGCTGGGGAACTATTTTCCCTTTTTAGCTCATCTGACGAAGTCAGATGTAGCTTGTAGAATCGCACGATCGTCCGTCCGTCCGTCCGTGCGTCCGTCCGTGCGTCAACAGTTGGGCACAAATCTTAACCGCTTGACGTACGGTCACGATATTCGGGACGTCGGGGGGTTCGTGAAAAGGACTCGGTATGACCAATTTGGGGGTCAAGGGTCAAAGGTCAAGATGTGTAAACGGAGGGGGAATATTTCCCCCTTAACTTAAGGTATAGGAGGAAATACGGAATGGCGGCACAAATCTAAACGGCTTGACCTATGCTCATATTCGGTGTATAGTGTGATGGGCAGGAAACCCATCACCAGTGCGAAATTGGAGGTCACAGGTCTAATGGCAGTGGGGGAAAGGTAAGATTTTAGACATTTTCTGAGGACATGGTCTGACCGAGCGATTGAAAAACTTTTTTGTTTCAGCGGTGACCTAGCATTTTTATGGCTTTATTGAAAGGACCATGAAATGTACCTTCTGCTGACATGTGAAGAGTAAGTGTCGGATAACCTTTTGACCCTCAAGATGAGGGTTAAACATGGATTTGTTTACTGTCTGTTAGAAAGAATTTGACTGCCGGGTTTGCTAGTAGAATCTATACATGCCTGGATGTATGAGGCTACAATGTCACAGTGAAATTTCAAAAGCTAAATTTGGTTGAAGAAGGTTTAATCGTATCGTATATTTTCGCTCTTTAAATCGTATAATTTCTATGGCATTCTGTACTGTCAGTGTGTTACATGTAACTTATGCCACTGCCAGTGCATGTGGTGGTGATAGTACTGTGTAGTTTTTGCCTGTGTTAAGTAGTTACAGGTGGCAGCTCTCTATTTCTGCCTGTAGGCTTGCGTAGGTAAATGGATGAGTGCTTACCTATTCTGTCTTGCAAATAGTTGTTGCTACTACGTACGATGGAAGCTTCCATCTTTAATCTTGAGACGCTTAAACGTACGTGCCATCTTGTGGCAACTTTCATAACGATCCCAACGAACATTCCTTTGAGAAGGTTCCTGATACCATCAATGTGCCTTCCACTGTTTCGGCGCGTATGTGAACACGTTTGGGACCAGCAGGGTTTACTAGAATCCCACCACTCCACCACAGAGTCACCGCAGTAGACGTTAGATGAGCGCTGTCGCTCCGCGGCACTTGTTTAACGATGTACTGCTTTCCTAAAATCAACTTTCCTTGACTATACATTATTAGACATTCCACTCATTGTTTATGGCTGCAGAAATGAAAGGTTCGGTGGCTGTGGCTCAGTCTTACATGTTGACTCTGACAGCATTCCATCTTATGGTGCATCTCTCAAAGTATGTTCCTCAATATTCACTTACTACAGATAGGTTAATCGTTGTGCTTACGTTTTAGATAGGGTGCTTTTTAACACACTTGTTTGATTAGTTGTTGTTCTTGTGTAATTAATACTATATTAATCTGCAGTGCATCAGGGGCCTTCTTGCTGATGATGCTGTTGAACTGTTACGCCAATTTTACAAGGGGCAAAACCCCAATGGTATGAAACTGTTTATATCTGTTATATTAGATTAAAAACTTACAAATCACCTTTGTTGCTGTCAAAACTATTTGACAGATCCATGTCTCACTTTACTAGCTTGTTGTGCTGCAATTGAACTACGGAATTCTACATCTGACCTTTTAATTTTTCTAAGTGATATATATAGCTTTAATTAATTTCTTGCTCGTTCTTATATATATTGTCTTTTTGTATAAATTTTCAGCACCTAATCCAAAGTTGAAATCTGGCAGTCAAATTGGAAACAGTGTTGGAAATCCAGTGATGAACTTGGATGAAGATTAGAAATTCCAGGATTATATATTTCAGGTATAACAATGACAGATTGTGCAAAGGGAAAAGCGCAGGATTGCTTTATTTGTAAATGTATTGTTGATAAAATATTTCGGTGGTCAACCGTAAGACTCATTCATGTGAGCATTAGTAGCATTAGGAGCAGAGTAGCATTCATGTGTTTATGTATCACCACCTTTAATTGTAACTTTTTAACAATTATTTTATATGTTGTGCGTAAACTGATTTGATAAATGTCATGATGATGAATGGCTTAATTGTACGGCAGTGTTGAAAATGAAATTGAAAGGCCACAGCTCCATAGTGAAATCTCGAAAAATCCAGTCTATTGAACAATATTTAATTAAATCCTAATGTGTAAGATCCTTAAGTCACGTGCCTTCAGTGACATACATTCTATATATTCCTGCAAATTTTCTTTGTCTACTATATCCAGAATATTGGCGAGTGTGTAAAGTAAAATGGTACGCTTTCGTATACAGGAGACATTTTTTGGTTATAGATATCTATTATATGTACACTCTTGGGGTTAGTAGAAGAAGAAGCAGCGGTAGTAGTGGTGGCAGCTTCATGTGATGTCAGTACTGGCAGTTAAATGGTGGCAGTAGTGTGGTATCGTACGTAGTTGTTTTTGTAGCAGTAATAGCAGCTGCAGCAGCATCCGTGTAATGCACTGGCATTGGCGTCTGCAGCAGCAGCAACAATAGCAGTAGTAGCCACAACAAAGCGAAGCACAGCTCTTTACACGAGCGTTTATGCTCTTGGCTCTCAACTCTGTAATATTAGTTGGTGGCATATTGTAGTTCTAGGTTATAGCGTGGTACAGCAATTACATGATGACGGGTGGTATGGTCAGTTTAAACTAAATCAGTTTGCGAATAATAAATTTTCTTACAGAGCCTATGTTTTTTACAAGCATAGTTTGTGATGTTAATTTTTTTTAGATTGCTAGTTAAAATATATAGCCTTTATAGGAAATTGTTCTGTAAATTGTAAACATTTTTACCCGCTAGATGGCAGTAAGTGCAGAGTCGTCTGATATTCTGACAATCAGATAGTTTTGTTGAGATTAGTTGTATTTATATCTCGGACAGAATCTATTCCATCTTTGCTGAGAAAAATTATAATATCGCGTGCGTACGTAAAATGGTATGTAGGTTACATATTCTATATTATAAAAATACAGTTTTAATAATAATAATTAATATGGTAGAAAGTATCATATGACATATGAAAAAACCAAGCGTACTGAGTCAGTGAGTAAGTCACTGAGTGAGTGTTGTAAATCAACGACAACATTGTTATTGTTGCGTAATAATATTGATTGAGAGTCATTTTACTAGTAGTAGTTGTTTTAGGCCGTGCAGGACGTGCGGCCTAATGACGAAACGCACTCAAAACGTTTTTGGAGTGTGGAATGTGCTAGTTAACAGTTTAATATTGCATTCACATCCTACACGCAACACTGCCAACAATCAACATGAACATACCTGACCTGTAACTGACGCTCATACTATTACTGGGGTCTATGTCCCCCAGGGTACTAATACTACTATCGGAGGGTACCCTGGGTACGGTTCGATATATCGGAACGTACCCTGGTAACTATCTGATATAGTTAGGGTTAGGGAGTAGGCGTCTCCCTAGACTCGTTAGTGTAGTAGGCGAGGTACGGTCCGGCATATGATTATGAGATAGTACCAGGGTACGTTCCGATATATCAAACCGTACCCTGGGGGACATAGACCCTCTCAGCGTTACTGACACTCACACAGTGTGTGAGACACCCATCATAAAAGAATGAAATTATACATATAATTGTAATGATGCAGTTAAAATTTAAATACCATTGTTTTTAATGTTAAATGACTATACTTTTGTATTTCATTTTAAGTTTTAACTCAGGATTTAGTTCATTCAGAGATTCTGTTGCGATTATGGCAGTGTGCAATTTTATGTTAATGTTAACCAAATTTACATGATTATAAGTATTTTTATATTTACGAGACCCGTGTTATTTTTCTTTTTAAGACTGCTGCAAAAATTACTCCACTTAAAAGTGCTACAAGTATTAACGAGGAGATAGAAGAGGCAAAAGTGTCAACTATAGTGCCGTTTGTTTTGGCCATCTTGGGCACTCTTTTTTTGCCACCTATTGGATTGTTGGCCTTGCATAGGGCATATATGGTAGGCAACTATTCTATAACATAATGTGGTCGATTTGTTAAGTAGTACAAGCTTCTGCAAAAATGCATGGTTTTAATTATGATAGATTAGTAATTAGTAGAAATTGATTATTCAACATACTGTTACTGTAACGTTACCCTTGCTTTTTTATATTTAAGGCATTGAAGGCAAAGGACCAGGGTGAAATAGAAATAGCACAGGACTATGTGAAAAAGTCAACTGACTTGGGACTGTTTGCATTCATTGTTGGAATAGGCATTGTTGTGTGCTTCATCATACTAGCAGTAAGCACCTTCAATGAACAGAACCCTGTTGTGGCACCATAATTTCCTTATAATGCTACAAAATAGGCTGGTTTCTCCAAGAATAGACTGGCTTCCATAAGAACAATCTCTGAAATTTGTCAGCCATTTTAGGGATGAAAGTGATATTGAGCCATCAAAATGGTCAAACGGTAACCGTTTACTCCCCATGTAATCTATGTGTGGTATGATTCATATTTGCTGACTGTAGACGTGTACCATTATACATGTGGTAATTTTATAATGCTTACCATTATTACCAATGAAGAAACTGTAACTCATACATATACAGTGGTTTTAGTAAATATTGTTTTGAAAGACTGATAAGTAAAAGTATCAGGATAGATGAGGCCTGAAAAGCTTCATGTCAACGTTATAACATGGCCATATAACACCAAACTAGAACATCTGCCTCATTGTGTTATTTATAACTATAATCTTACAGCCAATTTAGTATTAGTTCGTCCAAATTCACTCCTTGTTACTGATGCTGGGCCATATGCTTGCTCTGCTGGTCACTTGTATTAGAACATACAGGATGTTTCTTTGCTAAACCATAGATATACACAACACAGTCACAGTCACAGTCTGTAAACCAAATTCTAGATGGGCTGCTGATAAACAATGGTTTGTAAGATAAATGTTCTTGAAATTTTAAAACTAATATGAATTTGGCAGCAAGGTTATATATACTTCTAAATGACAGGTGGTAGTTATTCCAGCTTTGGCCAACAGTGCAGATTACATAACCATATTCTACACTGAAGCAGCTACAAGCTACAGGACAAATACACGGCGTACAAGCCAAAGTATGGGGCTAAATTTTCATGAACTCGCTGCATATACCTTCGTACAGTTTATGCAAAAGTATATAATATTATATATATATAATATATCTTATAAGTTGTTTCATGAAATTAATGTATTATTGAAAATGTATGTATAGTGACTAGTATACTTGTTGGCTGATGCTTATTGTTAATGTACGAGATGTATACGACTTTACAGTTTATGACAAAAATATTTTTGCAACATTGCTTGTTAAAAAATTTCTCAATATGTTTAAAAAAGTTTACAATATGTAGTTTGTAGACTGTTTTTGTATAAGTGTAACTATGATAATGAAGTCTGTTTATGTAATTCAATTGCCACACAAACATAAACAAGACTAAAAGCAGGAATACTGTCAGCATTTTTTAGCGCAGTGCAGAAGTAATTCCACAGAAGAACTGTGAAGATCTGAAAACTGCATTTTTCATTTTCTCAAGCACTAGAAATACTGCTGGTGACTAATTACAAACAGTTACATGGAAACTGTGCTAATTTGAAAAGAATATAGGTTCTAGGAAACTCCTAATCATAAAGGCTTCACCAAGATCCTGCATCCAAAATTCGTTGAATATGATTCCGCATCCAAACTGAACATATCCTCGATGTTAAACATAAGATTTTAAATCTTATGACTGTACATTTACTAGGTCAGTAATCTGCAGCAAACATCACTTCTAAAATGTAAGAACTGGCACAATAAATTAAGCGATCTATCAACAATGCAATGTGGTACTAACAAATGCACGTCATCTTAACAGTCTGGTAAGTAGGTCACAACTAAAACAATAGTTTGATCAGCAACAACGATTAATTCAACAGCCACCAGCAAGTGATTTTCTAGAAGCTTAAACTAACTAGCAATAACATCTATAACAGTTCACTTTAAGATTTAAAGAGTAGGCCTTTATCACCCATATCGGGATTGTAACCTTTCTGAAACCTGTTTCCGGGGAACCTGGAATAAGCTGTAACTAAGGCTTTCGCATCCTCTGCATCCAGCATCATTTCGGGAGCATGCAGCAGTGGTAGCTTGAACAGCTTCAAGATCACTTCCTTGTGCGCGTACTTCTTGCGTATGTTCGCCCACTCCCAGTCGTTTTTGACGTCCCAGTCGGTGAACTTCTCTTTCAGTTTTTGGCGGCTGTCCAAGTCCACACGCTCTATGTCCTCAACCACCTTGTCATGTAAATATAGGACACTTATGAGAATGATAAAAAATTAAGCAGAACATGTGCACTGTTTAGATTCAGTGATACAGAAATGATTACGAAGACGGAATGCACTAATACTGAAAAAATTGAACGTTACTGTAAATTAGGATGTAGATATAAAGGTATGCGCTAAAGAGTATTTTTTTAAATGTGCCAATTGTGACAATTATTTTACAATTAAAAAAACAAAAACGCAAAAGTAAGCTGAAAGCGGCGCGCTGAGAGGTTCTGTTGAATAGCAAGCAGTTTGTTACGAATTCAGTAACCTACCATCTCCGCGTCGCCGAACTCCGCCCAGTCGTAGATGAGAAGGTCGCTGCTCTTGTTCATCAGTGGCAGAAACTGCTGCTTGTATACGTTCTCGAGCGTCTGCAGGTAGGTGGCGTTGAGCACCTTGTCGCTCTGCACCTCGTAGGCGACGTTGCGCTTCTTGATGCGGTCGACGAGCAAGTTCGTCGGCACGTCGAGGTAGACGACGAGGTGAGGCTTCAGCAGCTCGCAGATCGTCACATCCTTGATCTCGTTGTAGCAGCGGCGGCACTCGCGCGTCATGTAGCCGAGCTGCGTCATTGTGTCAACAAAGACAAAGTCACTCCACGCCGATCGGTCCATGACGACGCCCTGGCCGGTGCTGAGCAGATGCAGCAGCGCGTCGCACGCCTGGTTCACGCGCAGCCAGTACATCATGATCTGGAAGTTGGACGCACGCGGGTCATTCGGGTTCACGTAGAAGTCCTTCAGCTCAAAGCTGCGGACGCTCGGCGGCAGGTCCGGGTCGGCGTCGCGGAAGTCCTTGCCGTACGAGTTGATGTAGAAGTCGTCGATCGTCGCCTCGGGTACGAAGTGAAAGTCGAGCTCCTTCGCGAGGTTTTTCGCGAGCGTCGACTTGCCCGCGCAGATGTTGCCGTCGACGACGATGACCTTGGTGTTCTCGTCAAAGCGGCTCGTCGTCTTGTCGAAAATTGACCGCATAAAGTTGTACTTGACGTCCTCGTACGGGTAGGGTGCCGGCTTGTCTGGATTCGGTATTCGTATGTGCTTTCCCGTGATAGGAGCTATCTGTGTCACTGCCTGTGAAATTGGTATGCAAAGATTGATTGAAGGAGATTGAATAAATCAAGCAAGCCCTCACCTGCAAGTTAGGTGTATTTTCACACCAGCGGCAGTGTAGAATTTTAACATGGCTTTTACATAGAGGCCTGAACACAAATATAAAATTTTGTGATACCTTATCCCCAACCTCCTGATGTAGGAATTAAAACTCTGTATAGCTGGTTTAGATTGAAGCTAACCAGGATATCAGGATATTAGTGCCTCAATCACAAAACACACCCTCAACACAAGACAACACAGAAGTGCCCAAGGTGTCCCAGACCATTCAGCCCCCATTTTCAAGTGCTTATCACTATGCCATCACTACATGCCCATAATTGAACTTGCAGACAAAAATATCACGTATGTTATAACATATATTATTACCTGGAAACATGGTAGCTTTCCTGTAGTTCCTATTCCAACAAGTCCGGGTACTTTTGCAATAAACCCACGTCCCACTGCCCATGCCATGGTTACCTTTGGGTGTTTTTCTTTCTACACTCCCATGCACTTAACTTGTTACGCAATGTATATATATGCAACCTGCAAGGAATACAAACAAAATTATTTGCCTGCTATAATTTTAAATGTGACAATTGTGATTGCCAGGGGTGATCTGGGCAGGTTGTTACATACACAACTACGTTCATTGGTCACACAAGTGAATAGTGCCGACAAGAACTTTCGGAAAATAAATGGGCAGTTACTCTTCTTTACATTGCAGTGCAGCAGTTTTTAGCAGGATTTTATTGGTTTAAATGGACAAATTAAATTACACTGAGGTGGAAAGGTGATAAATTGAGCCAGTTAATCGTTCCCACTACAAGTCTCAGATGCCAATGTAAAGGTAGTTATGTGTTTGTTCTGTGATAGTGAACTGAAGCAAACATTGTCTGATTTGAAACTCATAGTTTCCCACTTTCTTGATCTTTCTGTGAGTTTGAGCACAGATTTGTCCCTGTGTGAGTGTGTTGCAGAGGAGCATTCAGAATTATTTCAAATAATATTAAACGATTATAATATAATAATATTATTCGATAGAAAATATAAACATTAGAACTTTGGTAGTGATTAAGTGAATTCAACTTGTTTATTTACCATAATTTTCTTACTGAAATGGCACAATTACTTGGCTGTAGGCACAGGCACTTGGAACGTTTCAATAATAATAAAAAAAATAAACAAAATGTATTTACTACCAAAGTCTTAATGTTTCTCTACTCACTTTCGCCTATTATTACCGATAACGTCCTGTAAATTCCATTCAAATACTCCTCTGCAACATACAAGTACACCGCACGCTCGCCTCTGTGCGCAAACAATGAGTGTCAATGACACTGTAGCTCACCACAAAAAAAGGACACAAATGAGTGAGTGAGAAGAAGTCGGTTTTAATTGAGCAACCATCGACGTACATTATAGAAACGATTGCCATTTGTATATCGCAATAATAATTTATAAACCAAAATGAATCACAATTTGTGACGGTAGATGGCGCTATACCCGCTTTGTAACGATGGCGTTCAAAATAAATAGGTTATGCTGCGTTCCGACATGTTTTGTAAAACTTTACTCTAATATAGACGTTTTATCGGCAGGGTGGAGAGGAAATACCAATTTTGCATTAAAGATATTGTAATGTATTGTTTTATTATATCAATATTGCCCATACTAGATGGCGCCAGGGGTTCACCCCTGAAGAGGACCAGAGTAATGATGCGACCGCATTGTACGTTTTGTTTCTTATACTTGGTTTTAATTCACAATAAATCTATGTGAATACATCCCAGATATTGTCAATGAAATCTTGTAAAACGAACCAGACGAGTGTCACACCACAGACTGTTTGTTATCTGCGTTATATGCTATATAATTGCCAAACCCTACCTAATTTGCATATTTTTTTTAATATCAAAACCTCTAGCCCTTATTCATTTACATACCAAAAATGAGCAAAATCCGTTTAACCTGATCTGACTAATGGCAAATCCCTTTTTTGCCAAAAAATCGCCGTGGCTCGAAAGTACGCCGACTGGCGTGCTCCAAGATAGGACGTTTAATATGGGAGCACAGCAGTAACAACTATAACCAATTTCAAACATGTGGGTCAAACTGTTCCTGAGTTATCGTTGACCAAAGCCAAATGTTGACGGACGGACGGACGGACGACGACCCATGGAAATGAATAGCTCATCAAAAACCCACCACACTCCCAATAAATTAATAAAATATGAGGTTTATTTGGGGCTGGATCGTTAAGCACAGAGAATATAGCGGTGCATGCATGCAGATATAATAGACTGACAGCACAGTATACAGTGTATCTGTTTTTGTGTACTTCAGCAAAGAAAATCCTCGTTCACAGGTATTACAGTAGAGGGGCAAACATTTGAGGTTTGAGATTTACGCTGATCATGTAATGACCATGCCTGGCCTGGGGGCCGGGTTTACATGTTGATGTGTGCATGTTGTGTATATCACTGTATCCACCGATTGTTTCATTCGCATTGTTTTTTTTTCATTCAAATCTTGTTGCAGCAAGGCAGCACGATGTTGTGTCTGTGCAAAACAATGCAAGGGATTGGTTGAAACAGAAAAATACAAGGTGCAAAATTAACAGGAGTCCGGAGTCAAATACTCCCCGATTTACTGTCGGACATCCTGATTTGACATATGCAGGAGTCCGTGTGACTCCCTGAAAATTCTGACATACTAATTAGTTCGTTCCAGAGTACAGCCTGGCGGAATTACCGTATTTTTCAGCTCATGTCCAAAGAAAATTTGGCAGACGTGCAACCGCATGAATCATAAAAATAAGCACATGCGTTACTGTTAATATCATTAATTTTGAACCTCAGACTACAGACTCTCATTTTGCTGCGGACTCGCTCTTTTTGAGGGTAGGGAATCCGTTGGACTCCCGTGTTAAAAAGTTAATTTCTACCCCTGAAAATATCATTATGTCTAGACATTCAATGGAAAAAAATTGCTTGCCCGAACGGGCAAGTGCAATTTCAAGTTACTTGCCTGGGGCGAATTTTGGTTGCCCAGGGCAAGCAGGTTTGTCGCGCCCTGGCATACCCGTCAAACTATAACAAAAGTGCCCGTATATCATCAGAAACTCTCTAACCGCACTACACGATTGTTTTGGCCAATGAACGTAGTCGTGTGTGTGACGTCATTCCCACACGCACTATGCTAGCTCGGCGGGCCTCGAAATGGAGCTCAGAGGAAGGCAGCACTTCATCCCGGCATGCAATGTGCCGCCATTATTCATGTATAAATAGGCACTTCCTCCTATTTACATTTTGGCGGAGTGGGAGTTTTCTGCAGAAATTCACGAGATATCTATGGGTAAATGAGGCAGTACCAAATAGCAGTTGTCAGTTACAATTCAAGCAAGTGAACATTTAGCTACGCATAAATTACGAAATGAGGCTGTTGTTGCTGTATTTGTGCTGCGTTAGTGTGAAACGAAGCGAGCATCGTACGAAATTTTCGGTCACGCATTCCACCTGCTCTATAGATTATAATTTTGTTGTTTGTGCACAGTGCCAGTGGTAGTGGCGTGCGTGCGTTGTAGGCCTACTTGTGACGTGTGTTGAAGAGGAGCATTTGAACGGTATTTACAGGAAATTATCTAACAGAGAAAATAACAAGAGAAAATAACAGCGATAACAACAGGCAAAAGTGACCAAGTGAGTAGAGAAACATTATTAAAAAGACTTTGGTAGTTAATACATTTCGTGTTTATTTACCATCATTTCATTATTGAAACGTTCACCACACAACAGCCGCAGGCTGTGCCCGGCGTAGGTGTTGACTATCGTGTACACAATAATAGTACTAGTACTAACTAGTAATTAGTAGCTAGTATTAGTTACTAGGGTAAACATCAGGTTTAGCGTCGTAAATTAACTTGCAAACGCCACCGCCAGATGGCGATACGCGGTCTATCGGCGTTTCGGGCGTATCAGTGGAACATCGTCAGCACTCTTGTAGTTCTGGTACAGGGTAGCGAAGGAGCAGTGTAGGGAAGAGGAGGGGGAAGGGAGGGGGAGGGAGGAGAAAGTTTAGAGTAGTACTAGTAGGTGGAGTAGGGATAAGCTAGTGAAGAATGAGAAAGGGGAGAAGGGAGAAGCTGGTGGAGAAGAGGAGGGGGAGAAGCTGGTGGAAGAATGGAGGAAGGGAGAAGGGAGAAACTGTGAAAATGAGGAAGGGAGAAGGGAGAACTGGTGGAGAAGAGAGACGCTGGTGGAGGAGGAAGGGGAGAAGGGAGAAGGTGGTGGAGAAGGAAGAATTAGGGGAGAGAGGAGAACCAGCTCTCCCCCGCCTCCTTCTCCACCAGCTTCTCCTCCTCCTCTCTCCTCTCCTCGCTCCCTCCACACCACCTCTAGCCTTCTCCCTTCCTCCTTCCACCAGCTTCTCCTTCTCCCCTTCCATCCCTTCCTCCACCAGCTTCTACCCCTCCTCCTTGCCAGCATCCTGCGATCTCCCCCTCCTCCACCACCTTGCTCCCTTCTCCCCTTCCTCCTCCACACAACCACCCTCCCTTCTCACACCAGCTTCTTCCTTCTCCAGCCAGCTTCTCCCCCTCCTCCACCACCCTTCTCACCCTCTCCTCCTCCGCACCAGCATCTCCCTCCATTCCCGTCTTCCTCATTCTCGGACACCAGCTGTCTCCCCCTCCTCCTTCTCAACCAGCCTTCTCCTTTCCCCCCTCCCTTCCACCAGGTCCCTTCTCCCCCTCTCCTCCACCAGCTCGTCTCCCTCTTCCTTCTCCACCAGCGTTTCCCTTCATGCCCTTCCTCCCTCACACCGCGCGCGCGACCGCGTACGCCATCGTGCGGCGGTGGCGATTTGCAAGTTAATTTACCGACCGCTAAACCTGGCACTCGTGTCAGAAACAAAAATTAGTCGCAACATTAGTCTTATCCTATTAACTTCCACTCGTAAACCGTTGACAGAAAACATCGTAAGGTACGAGAACGAAAAATCTTCGCGAAATTATCCTCATAACATTGACGAGAGCTCAGCAACCCTCTCGAACTTTAATGTATAAAGTTGAAAAATAACGACATTTACACTACGAATTACATTATAAGTGATATTATATTTTATAATAATGAATAAAAGGTGTTTTTCTTGAAGAAACACGTCAAAATCATAATTATCTACCAGCATCAATTATAAACAATAAACCAATACATTTACAAATGGCGGTATGGCAGTTTGTTCTCGCATGTACTACCAGTGTTCCACGCTTGCGCTACGCGTCACTCTCGTGAGGCGGGCGTGTTTATCAGTGAGTGGAGAATGAGTCTTGTTGGCAGAATTAATTCATGACCACGTCGTTTTCAATGAGAATATACATTATGTATATGTGTTACGCCATCAATAATATGCATAAATTACTGTGAATGTACAAATAATTGTAATCAATTTGAATTTTGTTGATTTGATTCCATCCAATCAGCAGGCTCTGGGATAAGTTCCTGTTATCAGTAAGTTTGTCCTAGAGTACGCTTGCGAGGCTGTTTCTG